CCCAGGGTGTGTGTGGGGGACAGCGAGTCCTGTGTGCACCTGGGACAAGCCATTGTGAAGGCAAATGACATTGAAACGCTCAGCTGCAACCAACACATACTGGGCATCGGGAGTCTGATTAACAAGGTACAAATGTGCGCTTTAAAGTTAAAAGCTTAAGCAAAAAGCAGCCATTGACACAATCCATAGGATGCTTTAGAAAGATTAATCAGAATGCCATTTGATTAAAGGCAGGAAAAAACAAGAGTGCACAATTTAGCCATAAGTGTGGGTTTTGAGGTCAGATAGAGCAAATTTCACAATGAGCCTCTGGAACTTACAGTGTGACCTTTAACAAAATACTTAACCTCTCTGAACTGAGTTGCATTACCTATACAATGGAGCAAGCAATAATAGCTACCTCCCGGAGTTCAGGAGGATTAAATATGATGATGTATGTAAAATGATTGGTAGAGAGACATTGCGGTTAAAAGAATGAAAAGTAAAACCCAAATACAATAAAAATAAGGTCTTGGGAGGCAAAGGCTAACGCCAAGACTATGAAACAGAGACACAATTAGCACCAACACAGAAGCCCATGGCGGGAGGAAAAGAGAGTTGAAGATGGTCTTCACAATTCTTTTAAATGTAGCTGCATCAAGCCTAGACTCATTCAGTGCCATCCATGCTGCTTGGGCATCCTGGCATTCCAGTGCCTGTGCCAGGATTTCTGACATTTACTCAAGTGTTCTTTGTAAGTGGTGTCTCCCAGCCTTCTAGGAGCAGAGACAGTTTCCTAGTCATTCTGCAGCCCTAGTGTCTAACTTTCCTAGGTCCCATACAGTCTTTAAGTCAAAGGCTGGTGATAAATAGCCTTTGGTATTTCAAATGATTTTCTTCTGTAAGAATATCTTCTTTGCTTTCATACCTCTAGAGATCAAGCTAAACGACCTGCATTAGAAGGAGTGACAGGAAAAACACAATAAAGTTAACTGTTAAAAAGAAAACTTGTTGAGTTTCCTAAACATCCTTAATCTTGTGATATAACCTTGATTTTGTGCAGTAAGATCCAAATTAAAATGAGAAACAAAAGTCCTGTTGCTGAATGCTCGACTCAGAGCTCCTGTTCATGCACACCTGCCATTCAAGATTTCCTTCCCCCTGATGGCCCACCTCGCGTTTGATTTTGAAACCGCAATTCTCTACGCATATACCTACGTACACCATCCTACAGGATTTCCTTACATAACTTGGAAAAATTTTAGATGCTTTGAAAGTGAACTTCAGAAATATTATATGCAAATAGCATATAGCCCTTGCAACTTCAACTACAGCTGAGAGGAAGGAAAGAAAGGGGGCCTCTGAACAATCAAATAACAGCCAGCCTTTGTGGAATTTTTGCTTTGTTGTTGGGCACTGGCGGGCACTGTTCTAAGTGGATTACAAGTATTACCCCACACAAAAAAAGTGAAAGCAAGGATGTGGAGAAACTGGAAGCTGTGTGCACTGTTGATAAGAATGTAAAATGGTACAGCCTCTATGGAAGAATTAGAGGTAGAATTACCATATGATCTAGCAATTCCACTTTCGGGTGTGTATCCAGAAGAATGGACATGGAAGAGAGCTTCGCACATGCATGTTCACTGATGCATTATTCACAACAGCCAAGAGGTGGAAGCAACTCAAACATCCACAAATGGACAAAATGTGGTAGATACACACAATGGAATATTATTCAGCCTCAAAAAGGAAGGAAATGCAGACATATGTTGCAATATGGATGAACCTTGAAGACATTATGTGAACATAAAAGGACAAACAGTGTATAATTCCACTTAAATGAGGTACGTAGAGACAGTAAGTAGAATGGAGGTTGCCAGGGGGAGAATGGGAGTTGGTGGTTTAGTGGATAGGGAGTTTCAATCTGGGAAAAAGAAAAAGTTCTGAAGGTGAGTAGTAGTGTACTTGCCCAACCATGTGCTTTCACTTATATGTAGAATCTAACAAACAGGACAAAGGGAAAACAGACATAGGCTCATAAGATTAAATAACAAGCTCGTGGTTGTCACAGGGGAGGGGAGAGGGTGGGTGGAATAGGTGAAGGGGAGCAAGAGGGACAAACTTCCAGTTATAAAATAAATAAGTCAGGGCATGTAAGGTATAGCATGGGGAATATAGTCAATCATATTGTGATGACTTCGCATGGTGACAGGAGGTAGCACTTGTTGAGATGAGCATTTCGTAATACGTATAAGTATTGAATCACTATGTTGTACACCTGAAAACAATATAATATTGAATGTCAACTATTCTGTATTGAACTGTACACTTAAAAATAATTTAAAATGGTGAATTTTTATGTTATGTATATTTACCACAATTAAAACAAAAATCATGTGAAGAATCGTAGTGGGGCTACCTGTGCTAATCAAGTCTACCTATGTCCAAAAAAATTAGAAACAAACAAATGAGGTAAATTAAAGACTCACAAATTCTTTGCTACTCCTTCAATCAAGAAGTGGAGTCTTATATTCTTCTTTACTTGAATCTGGGCTAGCTTAGTGGCTTCCCTGGCCAACAGAATGTGACAGAAGTAACTTCTGGGACGTCTAAGGCTAGATTTTAAGCCCTGTCCTGGAGCCTCCTCCTGTACCGTCTGGAACAGCGCGCTCTCTAAGCTTTCTGTCTCCACGTGCTCCCTCTCAGGACCCAAGGCACTTTGCTGTGAGACCCAAAGCAGAGGGAGAGGCCCTGGGCAGGCACCCTGCGGACAGCTCTAACTGAGCCCCTCCTGAATTCCCAAGGTCACACCCACTTGAGCCTGAAATTAACTGCAGTCTCAGTTGACCTCTGACTGCAAATGCGTAAGAGACCCCAAGCTAGAACTACCCCAGCAAGTGCAGTCAATTCACGGAATCATGACAGATCATAAATTGTGTTAAGCCACTAAATTCTGCAATGATTTGTTACGTAAGCGCCATAATGATGCCCACTTGTACTTGACAAACCTGAGCCTTAGAGTTGAAGCGCTTGCTGACGGTCGGTCCTCCAGCTGCCAGGAAGTGGAGCAAGTCACACTGGAACCAGATCTTTTTAGTTTCTAAAGTCTGCTTTTCTGACCACTACATATACAGTTTCTCAGTCAAGACCGCTGTAATCGGATTTTTTTCTTCTGAAACTACATCTCCTCTAGTTGTGCACTGCACAGGAGCTAAAGCCATAGGAAGTAGCCCTCAACAGACCCTGAGCTCTGTCCTCAGCCAGGGCCTGTTCTCTTAAATGTTGGATCTTCTATCAAAGGAATTACCTGTTGTCTAAGAGCCTAAGAAATGTCAAGGGAGAAGAAAGCCTGGTGCTAGAACCTAGGAAAGTATAAGAAAGAGATACTTAAAATTTTAATGAAAAAGTGGGGATTAAGGAAAAAACCCCGCAGTCATTCAGAGCCATTTAGGTACAGGGCACATTTCCGTATGCAGCTCAGAGTCCCCGATGATGTCCCTGTATGAGAGTGTGGAACTCAGAACCCTAATTAAAACCCCACATTACTAAGGAACAAAAGTCTTGGAGAAGAAGGGATGCACATTATGCACTCTGCCCTCAAAAGGTTTCAACTAGTTTTGGTGTCTAATTGTATACAGCAGGCAATCACAGCACTCAGAAAATACCATCTGTTTAACACCACAATGACTTAAAAGTATGCATTTGTTTCCCTTTTTAAATGTGAGATAGGAGATATATCTTACTTGTATTTGTAGCTCCATGATAGTACATTTTACCAAAGCAGGAATGCTAATCAAATTATGAAGATAATGCTAATCAATTAAAGATTCAGCCCAACTGCACTGAAATAAACCTAATTGAATTCCTTCTATCTATGCTAGGCTAGCGCTAGACATTTTCATATACAATTTGTATTTTTTATTTAGAAAATCCAGGAAACAGAAAAATCCAGGAAACAGTTTTACTGTTTCATTTATTTAGGTATGAATATGCAAGAAACTGACATCAGCAAGTAGCATGGGAATAGGATTTTATTTTTACTTACTGTAACAATGTCCTAGGGAATCTAAGATTAAGGTGACTAGTATATAAATATGAAGTTTGTTTCCTCCCAGAACCCCAAATCCAGGGTACATGGTTTGACACATGGAATGAGATAGCTGGAATAGTGACTGCCAAGGCAAGCTGAAACCTACTGCACCAAAACCATAATAGGGAAAAAAGGGACAAACTACTAGGCTTGGCATCAATCAAGAAAATAGGAGGGACGAGGGGACCCCTTAAGCCATCTTCAGTCCTTTCTCATGAAACATGTAGGCACCCCTATTTTTGTCAAATTGTGTCTCATACGGCTTCAATGAACACTGTGTTCCTTAAGGGGTATTTTTAAAATCTATTTTGATTGAGGTTTGTCACTCCATTTGGTTTACATTTATGTAGGGGCAAGAAGGCGGAATTTGCAGGGTAAAAATTTGGGCTTCAGTCCAGGTGCGTGACACTGAGCAAGTCAATTATCCCCTCTTAGGATAAATTTCTATCCATCAAACAAAGAAAAAAAGCCATTAAACTGATTCCTGCCCTATGTCAGAGTGGTAATGAGGTTTTAACGAGATACCAATGTGAAAGCCATTCGGAAACTTTGAAAATCTGTTTGTTAATTACGTCCGGAGACAATGTCTCAAAAGTAGAGAAGAGTAGATTTTAGTATCAACTTCACCTGCCACCCCCGCCCCAATCAAGGAAAAAAAGGTCTTCCGGTTTTGGCTGGACGAATTCTGGAAAAACATCTCTACGGGAACCCAGCCGTCCGGAGGGCGTCAGCGGGCCGCGGGGCGACCCGGGCCCTGCCTCCGCCGGGCTCCGGGCTCTGGGCGTCCGGTGGGCGGCGCCATCGCGGGCAAGAAGGACCGCCTGCCCGCCCGCCACACCCATCAGGGCGTCGGCTCCTCAGCGCCAAGGGCCACGCCCCACGGGGACGCCGGGCGCAGGCCCCGCCCCGGACGGCGACGCTCCGGAAGTGACCCGGCGGCGGCGGAAGCGGAAATGCCTCGGCGGCGGGGGCCGCGGGAAGAGTCGGCGGCGTCCCTACCTCCCTTTCAACTGCAGCAACAGACGGGGGCCCCGCGCAGGTGAGGCGGCGGCCGAGTGGGCCTGGCGCGGGGAGGCGGGCGGCCGGGCCGGGGGCGCGTGCGGCGGGGGCGGGGGTAGGGCCGGAGCGGGGCCGCCCGGGCTCTGGGGGCCCGGGCCTCCCGGAGAGCAGGCTTCGGCTGGGGTTCGGCCTCCTCGGCCCTGGCCCGGGATGCCGGCGCGCAGGACCTCCTCGGGGGCGCGGGTTCCCCGGCAGAACGGGGGTTGCTGGCCTAGGCGTCTTCCGGGAGTGCTTTCCGCCGCGGGTGTCACCGGTGCCCCGTTTCAGGGCCAAGTCCGTGTCTACGGCAGCAAGTCGAGGCGAGCTCGTGGAGTGACGAGGGGCCGGGCCTGAGCGGGGCACGGTGGGCACAGCTTGCAGAGGCGGCCCGCCCTGGACTCGGGCGACTCGCTGTGCGACCTTGCCCGGGTCCGTTGCCCCGTGGCACAGTTAGCTTACCTGTCAAGTGAATGTCTCGGCGGCCTCCGATGCCCCTCCTAGCTCCAAATGTCAGATCCTCAACCCCTTGAAAGGGTTCTTAGAGACAGACCTGAAAAGCGTGTCTTCCCGCATCCCGCCTAGCACCCGACTGGGAAGAGATGCCTGCCGTGCTCTCTCCGTGCAGCAAGGCGGCCAGGGGCCGTCGGGCACCTTGGAGGCGCCCTGTGCTTCGGAAGCTCTGTGTTGACTGGTTTATAAACCTATACCAGCAGCGTAAACACGCCAATGTGAAAAATAGGACACCTGGTTTTTTGTCATAAAGCTGTTATTAACTTGCTTGTTCACTTTGGGCGAATCTCTTCATCCCTCTGGACTTTCCTCATCTGGCAAATGATGATGTTGTATTAGGTCATTGGTCTTTAATCCCCTTTCCCACACTCTCAGCACAATTGAGGAATAAAATAATGGCTGTGTACGTCCATGATTTTCTGCGGAAGGGAAAAGGTGGGGTGTGAAAGGGATACAGATCGAAGAATTTGTGCTTGTAAATTTTAACTTCGTTTTTAACAATTACTGGTTTAACTAATCTCCAAGGCTCCTTCCCTCGCTTTAAAATTCGTGATGCCGATTCTTTTGTTCTCTTTGGGTAAAGAATACAGATGTGTGTGTGCCTTGAGACACTCACCACCTTTAAAGAAAGATACCTTAAAAGATAAAGATATCTTAGTTAAAAGGATACTAAGGCATAAGAGAACAAGGGAAAACTAGTTTTCAGTGAGTTAAAGTGACATAGTGAAAGGAAATTGGACTTGAAGTGGAGTGGAAGAGACTGGCAGTAGAATCTAACTCCACTCTGACACTTTAAGTTTTATGAAAAACTTTGTTACCACCTAGCACTTAGCAGGTAGTAAATAAATAACTAAGTGAAGGAATGGATGGATGAATGAATAGATAATAGCAGTCAAGAAACAGTTTTTCCAGAGAATTATTAGATCAGAATGAGCAGTTGATTCTGAATTTGTAAAGGAAGAGACCTCTGAGTTTCCTGGTTAGTTGTAAGATAAACTAGTTTATCTCTGCCCTTAAAGTGTGTTGATAAAGAGACAAATATGTACCCTGGAGGGCTGGTGTGCTCTGAAGAAGGGAGTATTTAATAGAATTCAAGTCAGGGATGGAACAGGGTTAACGAAATGGGACAGGGATGGGAAGATATTAGTTGTGACATTTAGGGAATAAAGGAGTAGATTTATATTGGACCTTTATAGTTATAGGTATCTGATTATCAGAATTGTGAACGGTAAGTGTTAAAACTAATATAATGGAAATAGAGGATTAAAACGGAAGTAAGTTTTGTAAGCAAGGAAATACTGTTAAGGATTTCAAGATAGGGATAAATTTGAGAGCAACCAGAATGAATGGAATTAATGGAGGATAGTTTGGTTTAGTTAGGGATGGGAGGAGATTTTAGCTGGCGGGTTGGAAGGAGAAGAGCACATCTAAGAGAAATTGTATGGTGGAAGGGTCCAGGTCTGAAGAATATTCACAAAGCAGACTGCTTAGGATGTACTTGGGCCACCAGGACAAAAATGCTTCCTGTGGCTAAGGTCTGCTAAACAGCCCGCCAGAGAATGACTGTGGGCCTGCAGCTGCTGTCGGCTACTGTGTGGGAGCCTGAATTAGATGGACCACAAACCCTAATTTGTGGGGAGTGTGTGTCCAGCAGCAGTTCTATCAGGGCATCTGGAAGCCCATCTCCAAGCACTGGGACACAGCCCTGGACAGCAAGGAGACAGCCAAGTGCCGAGGACTGACTTGATGATAGGGTATGTAGTATAGGCTGGGACTTGTCCTCTCTGGTTCTGTTTGCCCACCTGAAAATTAAGGTTAGGACGCTCTTAGTTAAGGACCTCTGGATGAGCTTCAGTGTTTGCAAAGCCCCTGAAATTGTGTGTGTAATTTGGCATGCATGAGTCAGGTATGTTTTGTTCTTCTCTTGGGGGAAAAAAGTGCAGGCTTCACCATTAGTCTCAGATGGATCTGTGACCCACAAAAAATTAAGAACTGTGTGACTATGTAACCTCTGAGGGCCTCTTCAACTTTTAACATCCTGGGATTCCATACCGTAGTTCTGTCAGAGTGACATTTCTTTGAGGTTTAGACTTTGAGTGTTCACAACTTGCTAACCCCAGAAATAACACCCAAGGCTACAGAATACAGTCTTCATGTGTTTACACTCTCCTGTTACTTATACTCCTCTCACCTCTCCCTTACCATTCATGATTCTTCTGCTAGGCCTGCTCTAATTTGGTGTCTTTATCTACTGCTGATAACTAGAATTTCCCTCCTTTCCTCTTTCCCTTTTAACCTACTGCTGCTTTGGATCTTCCCTGCCCTACTGAGTTTCTCAAGTAGCAGATGGTAATGTTTTGGAGAGAGGGGTGGGAGGAAACCAAGACAGAGAAGGCTAGTCATGGCAGTTTTCTCTTCTCATTTGTTTTTATCCCTCATCCCACTAAAAGAAAAGCAAATAAAAGAGAGAGTGCACGTAGAAGAGAGACACCATCATCCCTTGGGCCTTTGCGTGTCTCACATGGTCTTTTCTTCTTATGCAGGGATACCCGGCCTCCATTTCTCAGTGCCTGGGATGAAATGCTCAGCGTAGCCTAGCTGGATGTTACACTTACAGGAAGAAGAGCCAACTTCAGTTGAAACAGTTTGTTGTCCTTTGTAGAGTTTGGTGGTAAGGGAAAATACTTGAGTCCTTTAATGTGGAAGCATCTATCTCCTCAACATTCCCAGGGGCGCCTCCTTGGACTGGAGAAGACTGACTCCCTCACTGTAGATCCTGAGCTGTTAAGCCCCTCAGTGTAGAATGGAGATCACCTCAGTGTTTATTTTCCCAAGTCCTTTCCCCACCAAAGCCTCGGAGCAGGGCAGTTTGACTCTTACCTACCACCATGTAGACAGCCATGTGACCAAGTCTTTAATTCTAGGCAAGATATGGGAAATATGTATACAGATTCACTTAAAATTTTCTTAGTCCTCCTAATTTAGTAATTAGTGTTAATGTATACTTTTGGTTAAACGATTTTTGTGGTCTTGTTGGAAACCTAACCTCTGATGTATAATGTCGTATCTGTAAGTAAATATTTTTCTGACTTCCAAACAAGTGAACTTTTATAAACTCAGTGATACTTAATTTTCATTAAATGATGAAAAATCAAGAACATGGTATCCGGGAAGGGTTAGAGTTAAGATTCTTGAAGGTGAAGCACATGCTAAATATGGCTTGAAAATTAATCTGTGGCTGGATCGGTCTTTATGAGTCAGCAGTCTTGTTGAAGCATTTGCTTGCTCCTGGGTAGCTGTTACTGTGTGCATGTTGGACTAAAGCCTGATTGCATTTTGCCAGGATTGTAGACCTGTTGCTGAGATCATTGGCTGCTGGTCAGCAAACAGTGCTCACAGGAGCCAGAAATGGCTCTTAGCAGCCTTGAAGCTACTGGATGCATATGGCATGATGGGGAGTTTGATGGATTCATACATCAGACATTTGAAGAGGAGGATGAGCAAGGATTTGTTACCACCTAGAGGCAGAAGATTGAGGTTCTTTTCCTTTTCCTGGCAGTAAAACAGAACATAAGTCGCTATAGGAGAAGCACTATTAAATCTCAAAGGGAGCTCAAAAGGGGGTCTGAATGGGAGTTTTCACGGAGAACTTAACATTTAAACTTGATTTTGAAGGCAGATTAGTGGTTTTCTAGGCAAAGAAAGGGGAGGAGGGGAGATTCTAGTTAGAGTTAACAGCTTACTGGGAATGAAAGATGAATGTCGATAGGGGACATGAGGGTGTTGGTGTGGCTGGAATGTGGCTGAGGAACAAGTGGTAAGGGTTGAAAGATGAGATTGGAAAGGTGGCGTGAGATCAGATTGGAAGGATTGTATCCTCTGGAAACTGGGATTCCTTGTAGGCTGATTGAGTTGTTGTTTGGTCATGACTATTGTATTTCTGTAAGAAGTATCTAAAATTTTCACAGTGGAAAATATGAAGCATGAAAGCCTTCTTCCCACTTCCCAAAACCTCTGTCTTCAGAGGGAACGACTTGTAAACATCTTGTCACGGATTCTTCCCAGAATGTCCTATGCAAACCCAGGCTTATTTGTCCCTTTCATGCAAATGGTATAATATTTTGGACATATTCTACAGCTTGCTTTTTTCACTTAATATGCAAACAGAGGAATGCTTTAAAAAGATAACTCCAGCTTCAGTGTGGTATATGGTGTGTTAAGCATTTAGTCAGCAAATCACCGATCATGAGCCTACTGTGGACACCGTAGGCTCTGTTCCCGGCCCTGCAGGTACGGTGGTGGGCATTATTTAGAAAGCCATTGCAGTAGCCCAGATGAGGGTTGGTAGAGTCGTAAAAGTCAGTGGGAAATGGATGCAAGAAAAAATTAATAGGAATAGCCAATTACATGGCTGAGGAGAGAGAGGTCACAATATTCTGAGCTAATTTCAAGGTTTCTAATTTAGGAATCTGGGTGTGGGGACTGAGAAAACTGTGTGTGTGTGTGTGTTGAGAAGAGGTGGCTTGTGGTTGAGAAAGTTCAGTTTGTACATAACATTCTTGAAGGTTGTTCAAGATCCTGAGGTTAAGTTTTCTGAAAGGCAGAGGATGTAAGGTCAGAGCTCAGGAGAGACAGGAGCTAAAAGTAGAAATCTTTTTTTAGTGTGTTTGTAGTAGCTGAAGACTTGAGAATGGCCAGAGAGAAGAGGGGTCTAGGGTGAGTTGGCAAATGAGACTTGTGATGTGGCCCCGGAGGGATGAAGGGGACCAGGAGAGGATGTCATGTAGGGGCCGGAGGGCGAGAGGGGTTCAGAGAAGTGGTCAGCAGCACCCCACGCTACAGACGGGTCAGGCGGGGAGCACGGAGAAGGGGCTCTTGGCGCCGAGGATCAGGAGGCTAGGACAGCCGTAGGGCGGTTCCGGGAGCTCTCAGGAAATGGGGGACTATTTTGGAGCGGGGGCAGCAGTAAAAAGGAAAAGATGGGCAGTGATAGAGTCAGAAGTAGATGAGTATGTTTGTAATTTTTTTGTGGGGAGTTTGAGTATTAACTTTACTTCTCCAGAGGTCTGCTGGCTAAAATGTAATGGACAAAACATAAATACGCTTCTGAGGAAGCGAAGGAGACGCCACAAATTCAAGGCACTGTAGCTCTTGTACTTTGGCAAAATTCTTTGGGTCCGTATTACTAGGTTTGTTGATACTAATCCACACACAATTCTAAAAACATTTCTCTGTTTTTCCAGGCCATAGCCAATTAGAGGAGTGTGCGTGTGCGTGTGTGTGTCTGTGTGGGTGGGTGGAGTACGGGGAGAAGCAGGCACGCTGACACTTGCCAGAAATAACGGCACACAACCTTTCTATGAGAGAAGAAGGGACCAGAGCAGACATACAAGCTTAAGAAATATGAGAGTTCACTTAGCCTTGTATTTTGCCCCCATTCACTGCTGAAGCAGAGGAACCCCAGGAAGCTCACATACTTGAGTAGTTCCTGAGGGGAGGCATCGCAAAATACAAGGTATATGCATGTTGATAGCCTCAGGTCATTAAGAAATGCTTAAGGTTTTATTGAGTCAGCTCTGTAAGAAGAAAGTATGCAGTCCACTGTAGAGAGTTTTAATACTGAAGAATTCTAATTAGGAAAAAGCTGGTGCATAAATGGAGAAAACCCTGTAACTTAAAGATGCACTGATTTCAGGCAGCAGTGCTGTGCATCTCTGTTTCATGATTAAGTTTAAGCTCTGAACTAGAGTTCTCTGAGTTTGAGTTAAGGTAATTTTCCAAAATTTTACCATTGATAATTGATAATGTTTTTTAAAGGACGCTGTTTTCACACCATTCCCTCTTAACTTGATCACTGGAACACAGCGAAGAACCTCGGGGTGCTCGCCCTTCTGCCTCTATCCCTCCTTCCCTGCTCCAGGCCGTCTTTCCCCCTTTTCCTCTTCCACTAAAGCTTACTTTAAAAACAAAACAGCATGTGTTACACAAATGAATTAACCTCTGCTCCTTAATATTTACAAGAGTGAGAAGGGTGATTTTATTCTCTCTGAAATTGCACATAATCATGTTTATTTTTTGAGATCTGCAGTTTTTATCAGATTTGTAAAAGGGTCTGTGACCCACTGGTGGACTCAAATCCCCTCACTTTACGGGTGGGAGAATGAGGAATTGAAAGGTGATTCAAATTCATGGAAGTAGTTTGTGACAGGTGTAGGACTAGAACCCAAGTGTCCTCTTCTACTTTCGCTTTGTTAGGAGCATCATAGAATCAAAAGCTCCTGGAGTTGTAAGGGGTTTTGTTTACCTAGTTTAATGATCTTACCATACATTTGGAGAAGTTAAGTAATAAGCTAGGAGGCTAAAGAGTACAAATTTGAATCTTGGATTCCTTTTTCCTTGGAGTTTTGCTCTATTCTAGATAATGCATTTTTACATTCTCTACACTCCTCAGAAAAAGGTGTTCAGTGCCTTTTGTGTAATGTATTAACTTGAATGTGGTATGTTACTGCAGAACTACCTTTGTGCTTTAAACACTGTTTCGTGGAGGTTTTGTAGGGATAATTTCTGCACCCGGGTCTGGGGTGCCTCAGCCTGCTTGCTCTCTGTTCTGCCTGCTTTCAGGTGCTTTGGACACGGGTGACCAAGAGGGAAGATCTGCTCTTCGATACTGGAGATAACCCAGCAATGGGTCCACGAAAGAAAAGCGTTAGAACATGTCTTGTGAATAATGAGATCCCTGAGGAAACAATATCAGATGAAACAAAGGACTATATGAATCAACTTTCACACGAAGTGCTTTGCCATATTTTTAGGTAAGATTTTGTCTGGTTGATTTTTACCTGCCTGGTGTGTGTGAGCAGGAGCGCATCCCAGAGCGGTGCTGTCCAGCGCGGCGGTCAACCACCCACGAGTGGCACTGAAATTCAATTACATTTTAAAAATCCAGGTCCTCAGTTGCACTGGCTGTGTGTGGCTAGTTGCTCCTGTATAGGACACCGCAGATAGTGAATGTATAGAATATTTCTTCCCTTGGAGAATGTTCAGTTGGACCAGGTATTCTCTAAAGTGTGCTAACATTCCAGGCTTCTTGGAATTCTCAGTGACTGATAGATTTGTTGATTTTGTTTTTACAGTTCCATGTGTCTAAAACTCAAGGCAGTGTTTTTGGCTTTTTTCAGTATAGCGCACAGTTAGAAACACATTTTACTCAGTATGAACATCTACATAAAAGATTGAAACGGAAATTTTATGAAATAATACCCATCATTACTATATGCTGTATATACATTAAAGTTGTTTTGTGATAAGCTCTTTTTGAAATTTTCTTTATATTTTTATCCAAACTACATTATAACAACAGTTAAACAGCAGCAACAAGAAACAATAACAAAAACCCTGTCATTCCAGTCTCCCCTGCTCTCTTCTTCCAGTCATTATCCATTCAAATAGACAAATCCTCACATACTCTGTTTCTGGGGTTAGAGATTTGAGTTTGAATCCTGAATCTCTCATTTATTAGCTCATTCATATTGCAACATGATCTTCATAATTACCATTTTAGTCACTGCTTGCTAGTCCATTGAATATGACACAGTGATCACCTTGTAGTGTGATCTGCATTGCTCCAGTTTTTCTCTTCTACAACTCCTAACTTTGCTAAGCATCTGGATTTTCCATTATTTAGATAATTTATCTATGAGAAATTTCCATAAGAAGTTCTTAGAAACGTTAAAAAAATTTTTTTAAGTTATTGAATATATGCAGATTAAGAGGTGACAGTAGAATTACTTTAGGACACTTTATATTTCTTCCCTAATATAAATTTGTATTACCCTTTATCTTCTGCAGTTTGTTATTCTGTGACACAGTGTAGTTTTTATTAGTTCAGTTTCTGTCTGGGAATAGAAGACCCAATTAAAATACCTATTTTTCTTTTTTTAATATAACAGAATGATTCTAAAGTTAATCTGGAAGAAAAAAGTCTGCCAGAATAACTAAAATTTTTTAGAAAAGGAATCTAACCCTACCAGATGTTCAAATATATTCTAAAATATGCAGTAATTCATGATTTGATGTTGGAGAAAATAGCCAGACAGTTGGGTAAAACAGGTAAACCCCATATGTAAGCTCCATCTGTGGATTCAACATATGTGGGATCTAGTTTATGATAAACTTGGTATCCACACCAGTAAGGAAAAGCTGAGTAGATTATTCAGTGATGATGTCACAACCTAAAAGCCATTTGGAGAAAATAATAAAAGCATGTTTGAATCTCTCATATATGATAACTGAATTCTAAATGCATCAAGGAATTAAACAATAAAGCTATTAGAATTCTAAAAGAAAGCATAGGTGAAATTATTTCTGGGGTTGTGTTAGAAGTTTGTTAAATAATGGTAAGGGTATATTATGAACAAATCGGATCATATTTTAAATTGAGAGTGGATTAGATAACATTTTGTAGTTCAAACAATATTCAAATGCAGTGAGTAGAATCAAGTAACATCCAGGTTATAGAATCAAATTGCCCAGGTTATTATGAAAAAACCTGCAGCAAATTGGCAGAATATAAAAACTGTGAATTAAGCTGAGTACTTGGATTTGGTATGAGATGTTTATTCTAAAAATAAATAGGTTTATTCTTACGTTCCTGAAGTTTTATCTGAGGACTAATGTTGTAGTCATGTAGTAACTACTTAGCATGTTTTCATGAACCAGGAAAAACTATGGCTTCCTTAAACCTAATCTTCACTTAATCTACCATGTTAAACATGTCTTTTCTAAAATGTATTTGATCTTTTGAACTCCAGCTCTTTGACTTTATATCTATAAAAAATTACATTTCTTTTTCTGAGGGAAAATATGATGTAAGGAAATCTTCATGTGATTAATGATCTGTTTATATTTAAAGGGAATATAGTACTGACTCAGGCAAATACTTTGGGTAACAATCAGTGATTTGGGAAAAACATTTTAGTGGGAAACTTAAAACAAATTCAGTATTTTTCATTGTTTATAAAATGTGTAGTCATAGTTTCTGAAAATTATCCTTATATCTAAGTTATATAGACTAAAGTTAGCAATAATGTGTCTTTTTTTTAAGAATTTGATGTTACTGCCTTTATTTAATTAGTTTTAAAGGGGAAGAGAGAGGGACCAGAGGCTAAAAAAAAAAAGTGGACAAAAAAATATTCAGCAGGTATATTTGAACTTTTCTAATTAACTTCATTTTTAGAAATTGAAGTCAGACCTAACTATGTTGACATCCCTTCATTCCTCTTACCTAGCTGTTGACTTTTTGCAGGTTAACTTTTCTGAGCCAATTTCACCATTTTCAAAATGGAGTGATTAATTACAGGGTTTATTTAGAGCAGTGTGGGTAGGGCTAGGGGAACCAGTACACTGACCGTTGTTGAAGAATTCAGCTAGGGACTAGCAACAGCAGGAAGTCTTCGCTCTTGCCCATCCCTTCCGTTTGCCAAAGCGTACCGAGTAGGAGACTTCGGGGCAGAGCGCACAGAGCGGAGGGGGCAGACCAAAGATGAGGGAGAAGGCTGTGTGGCCGACGGCGATCCACCTCGTACGGTCGTGGGCCGCGACACAGCACCAGCCTAGTAAAGGGTAGCTTTTACCCGTCTAGAATTTCTCCAGGCAAGCACAGAGCAGGGTTAAGAAATAGAAAAAGAGAGAAATGATATTTTCTGATCTTTCAAAATATATATATATTACTATTACTGGAAACAGAACAAAGGTAGAAGTTGAAAAGTTTCAGGAAGGAAGAGATAACAGGAGGTTGGAAAAGAGGAAACTAATTCAAGTGGGGTGTTCTCACTTATATTCATAGTGAACTTTTATCAGAGAGTGCGATCTTAAAGGTAAAAGATCTAGAGAATATTATATACTATAAACTTAGTATACGTATTTACTGATGGAGAAAATGGTAGAGTTTCTGGGTGGTGGTGAGAGAGAGAAGAAGGGGATTTTTTTAGCCAATACAGGAAATGGATGTTGTAAAAGCTATGAAAAAATATTGACCATGTTCAAATCGATCGGTTTTCTCTGGTCACTCTCGCATACCCTTATCATCGTGCACTGAGGCCTTTTCCCCTCTACCTTCTTTTCCCCTTAAACAGAAAAGGAGAAAGGTTATCAAATGCCCTATGGAGGGAACTCGATACTTGACCTGGATGCTGGAGTATCTGCTGACTTACCAGTTTTTAGTAAAAAGCTGTGTATGCATGTTAGTCTTAAAAATTCCTAAGTTCTCATTTCATTTAAGGGCTAGGAGAATGGAGGAAGGAGAAAAATGACCTATTAAGTGAGAGTAAGTACTTACCTGCTTGATAAATGAGTTTCTTTCTCTCACAAAGGTACCTCCCTCTGCAGGATATCATGTGTATGGAATGTCTTTCCCGGAAGCTGAAGGAAGCAGTGACCCTCTACCTGAGAGTCGTGAGGGTCGTGGATCTCTGTGCAGGCCGGTGGTGGGAATACATGCCAAGTGGTGAGTGGATTCCGCTTGCAAGGTGCAGGGGAGCCTGTTGGAGACATAATGATGTTCCCAGAGCAGCAGCAGACTCACAGCCTCTAAGGAGGGACTGGCGGTTACCAGAGGGGAGGGGGGAAGGGCGAAGGGGATTGTGGGGTGACATGATTGGTGCACATGGTGTGTGTGGGTCACAGGGAAGACAGTGTAGCTCAAAGAAGACAAGTAGTGACTCTGTGGCATCTTACTACACTGATGGGCAGTGACTGCAATGGGGCATGGGTGGGGACATGATAATATGGGCAAATGTAGTAACCACAATGTTCTTTCATGTGAAACCTTCATAAGAGTGCATATCAATAATACCTTAAAAAAAGCATAATAATGTTCCCAGTGTTACTTGTTTTGAGATAGGTGATAGAGTCACCTTGTAGGTGGGGAAGCAGGATTTTACCTAAATTATTTAGGTTGTTTTGGTTGATAAAATGCATTTTGCCTGAGGTTTTACTGTTTCAGTGGTCTGTTGTTTTATTTCTAATTCCTTAAGGAACTACATCAGCTTATTTTACAAATACATGATTGGAAAATACTTATTGAGCCTTTGATTAAATACATGTCTAACACATTAGACAGTGCCCTTTGTTTCCCAGTGCAGGCTTTCACAGCTTTCCTGTACCCTTGAATGGCGCTCTTGGTTATATAAGTGTTGATCTTTTTCTGTGAGCTGCTTTGGTAGGCTGCAGAAATTGCACTTCTGACCTTTCATTTCTGTAGCACTTTGAAAAGACCTAGCTCTTGAAGAGTCTCAAATAAGTCATTGGCCTTGAAGGTAAAGACCTCAGAGTTAATGGCCTAACTACAATAGTGGACCTCAGATAAAGAGACAGTTAGGAAAGAAAGTTGATAACTTGAGTTAAGCAGAGCACACTTGAAAGGGAAGAATTAAAATTGAGGGCCAAAGTTTCTTGTCATTTAGCACAAATTCATTGATTAGTGTCCTTGAGTTATTGTTGTTTAGCAACTTTAAATGTCTTTCTAACCACCTTTCATCAACAATCTCCAGATACTGGTATTTTGAAGATGTGATGAGTGTGGGGGAGGCGCTTGATAGATGTGAGGAGCTGAAGAGATGATTGTCCTGTTCTGTCCTGTGAGGAGCAGGACAGACCACCTCTGGAATACTGAAATATTGTACAGTTTGGGGTGTTAACATTCTTCCAAAAGGGTCATTAGTCAATGGATAACTATTATCATTCGACCAGAATTAGTTATCAGTATATACCTTTTTGTGAAGAACTCTACAAAGACCTGAGAAAGGAAGGGAGCCTGGTGGAAGACAAGCCACAGTGGTCTTCAAATAGTCCAGAGGAAGCAGCCCAAGGGGAAAGGAGTCATCTTACTCCAGAGAGTGATCATTTAAAGCAGGGAAGAAAAAAAATTAGGGCAGTGTGAGAGGACTGTCATTGCTTGTGCTTGACTTGCTTTAGCAGAGGGTGATCGGGCAGGAAGTCTGGGGTGGTGGCCTGTCTGAAGAGGCAGAATAGCAGAGCCCCCATGTGACGCGCTCTCGCTGGCATCAAGGTCTCTGCCCCCTAGCGAACTAGAGGAGACTTCGGCCGCACGTTGCTGGCTTCTTTCAGGCCGCGATGAACACCTGCGGCCCCCGCCTTGCCATCCCTGCGGCACATAGGAGAGTCGGAATGGCCCCTAGAGAGACCGACCTCGGCAGTCCCTTCTTAGCTCCTCAGCTGTGTGGCTGTAAAGTTAGCATACTGTCTGGACTAGCTCTGTGCAAATAGAATGAGTTTTGAAAACCTTAGTATGTAAGACATAGTGATTTGGGACTTCATTTATATTCTTGATAGTTAATATTTTGTCATTAGTGAGAAGACACTTGGCTTTCTGACAGCCTCCATTAAAAAAAGAGAGCCCCAGATAATAAAGTATCATCTATATGAGACTTGTCTCCCTGCTAATCTCACCACCAACTCCTGCTGTGGAACTAACCTGCCTTTTTCTGCTCCCTTCTGGTTGATTCCCACTGTGGACCACAACCAGCCTCCAGATAAACAGCGTTCTGTCAGCATCCTCTCACTTTGGATCGCTTACGTTCTTTTAGCTAACTTGCATCTGTCTTTTTCAAAAGAATGAATTGTCCAAAATTCCAGGAAGTGATAGAGGACGAGTAATTAGTAGGAAATGGATAGACTAAGAGAACTTAGTTTGAGATGAGATTTAGGTTAGAACTGTGAGCTTCCTGAAGATTAGGATCATGTCTTACTCATTTTCTCAGTGTGTGCTGTGCCCAGCCCTAGAGGTTTTACAGACCAGAGAGCGCCTCTGGAGGCGGGTGAAAGAGGGTGGTGGTGAGAGGGTGGTCCTTCTCATCCACCAGTCCCATAGGTCCAACTTATCTTGGTTAAAAGTGTGTCGTTCCTAGTCGAAGATTTCTGTGCCTTAAATGCAGCTATGACAACAAAAAAGGCAATAATAAGTTAAAAACCCCAACAGTGAAATATTAACTCACAATAAGTGGAGTTTTGGACACATTTCCTCTGTTACTAAAAACATGTATTTTCAGTTTAACCATTTGTTCAGCTGTAGTGTTAGTCTTAATGAAAATTTAAAAAGGAAACCTCATTTTTTGTTGTTTTAACTTTTAGTTAAAACAAGTGCCTAGTAACTATTGATGGAAGGAGGGATGAAATTGGCTCTAAATACTTCTGAACTTTCTCAGGCTTCACAGATTCCAGTTTTCTAACACTATTGAAGAAGATGCCAGATGTCGAACAACTATATGGCCTCCACCCTAGATACCTTGAGAGGCGAAGGGTCCGGGGCCACGAGGCTTTTAGCATTCCAGGAGTTCTGGAGGCTTTGCAAGCTTGCCCAAACTTAGTGGTGAGTGTACCTGGTTGAACATTTGATATCAACTGATTGATGAAATGATAAAGCAAGAGAATGATCAAACACATTCACTCGTGCAGATTTCATCCGTAACAGACTTGTAAATTCCATCGCGTACTTAGCAACTTAGGATTCAGAAAGCTCCTTTGAATGTTAAATTAATGGTCTTTTTTTTATGCTTGCCTTGGCATTATTTTCTAGGGTGTGGAAACTTCTCACTTGGAATTAGTAGAATCTATTTGGACATATATGCCACATGTTCACATTTTGGGGAAATTTCGTAATCGTAATGGAGCATTTCCAATTCCTCCTGAAAATAAACTGAAAATTCCTATAGGAGCCAAAATTCAAACTTTACATTTAGTTGGTGAGTACACGTTTCTTGGGTCACTTGTGATTCCTTGAACTGCCATATAACAATATCCACTGAAGGAATAATGAGAATTTTAGAAATAGCTTTGCTGATTGCTGGTGGCAAAAGAAATGTCTGAGACTTGTATAAAAATTTACATTTCCCATTAAAGAGCCCTGGGTCAGTGGGTGGAGGCAGCAAAAATAATACTGTTTCATGACCAATCTCTTCCCTTTTTGAAGACAGTTTTGAAAATCATTGGGTTTTATTTGTTTTGTTTTTGTTTTTTCCTGAGAGCCAGAATCCTGCAGTATTATCCCCCATTTTACTTGCCATCTGTTGCCGTAGCATGTGTATACAGAGTTGAAAGCTAAAGTTGACCATGCCTTTTTGGGAGGACCATGTTAAGAAGTAATCCTTACAGTGGGAGTATTCTGCAGAATTTAGCTTCTAAAGAACAACCATTCAAGGACTCTCTCTACTTTTGCTTTCTCTGCTTGCTGTTGCTGGCAGGGCTTCTGCTGACTTAGGTTTAAAAGTCATGTTAAACTCGTTTGCCAGCTGTTTGTGAAATGCCATCACCCTGGGTCCTTGGATTTCTCTCGGAGTCTCACGTCGCTTCCTTGGCTTCTCTCTGCCTTACAGTTGTCCGTGTCTTGGGCAAGTGCCTCAAGCTGTTTCCTTCCATTTGGAATTTACATGTTACCTGTCTTCTTTCTTTTCCCGTATCTCCTGACTCTTCCCCCAACCCAGTATCTCCTATATCTATGGTCCTCTGCTGGTATGATTCTTGGTGTTAAGCCACTTATTCCTCCTGAAAATAAACTGAAAATTGCTGTAGGAAATATGATTCTTGGTTGTTAAGGATAAAATACCTTTATCAATTTGAGATGTTAAAATAAATGAATGACCAGTTTCCCAGTTATGCCGACTGGCTTCTGCCACACATTTACAAATCCTTAAGATTCGTACATTTGTAGAAACAAACAGCTTTAGTCTCTCTCTGGATACCATTCAGAAGCTATGATATTTAAAGCCAGCTAGCCTGCCATTGTTTTGAGAAATTTAAATTTTCCCACTAGTATGACAGTGGGTATTGGTAGTCAAATAGTAATTTTGTGTACCTATTCCTTTCACAGCCTCATAATTTTGCTCTCAGTAACCTATTTTCATTTTATATCTACCAGGCAAGTGTATCCTAGAGAAGTTGTAGAGTTACGAGAAAGACTTGTTAAAACCCATCTTCCCATATGTCTGTTCTAAAGAAAGAGCAAAGAAGTATAAATTGTCAACTTGAAAAACAGACTCTTGAACTTATACACAGAATACAGTTGTTTGTGATTTTGTTTGTCCTTTTTTTTATATGTATGTTTTAGGAGTGAATGTTCCCGAAATTCCTTGTATCCCGATGCTAAGGCATCTTTATATGAAGTGGGTAAGACTCACCAAACCACAGCCATTCAAAGACTTCCTGTGTATCAGCTTACGGACTTTCGTCATGAGGAACTGTGCAGGTATGGTACAGAATTATGGTGGAAATTTAGGTACACTTTCTAAATATATCCCAAAGCACATTCCAGAGCTGCATTTGCAAATGAAATTATATTATGGTTTTACTACTTACATTTTGTAACTTCTTCACATTGTGAAGATAAATGTATATTTTAAAGACAGTAGACAGATGATTTTTGTTTGACCCTTAGCAAAAATAATAATAGTAATAGAAAGCATTTCAGTGTCTGTATTTCTCATAGGCACTTTTTCTTTTTGTATGAATGTTTTAATACATTTCGACTGCTTTCTTTGTCTCTGGCCTCCTAGTCATCCTGCATGTAAAGAGTTGTTCGACCTAATCTACCTAAAGCCTAAAGCACTGCTTTTGTCATACTACTTTCTGTCTGGAGACCCTGAGTGTTTCTGTCGCTGCAGAGTGTCAGCTGGGGACTGTCCACTTTCAGAGTCCATGATGACCAGGGCCCCTGTCGACGCCCTGTTTCTGACTCCTGTACAAGGCAGACCTTCTTCCTTAGGCCTGCCTGCTTTCTGTCCCCTGACAGAGCCACGGCGGCCTTCACCGCAGTGTCTGTCTGAACTGTACATTATTGTTTCCTTCTCTTGAGCTTCATGCTTCCTTCCTCCTCTTCACGTGTGTACCTCCTTCAGGTTCTGCCTCTTCCAGCTTACGTTCCCCTTCTTTCTTTTTCTTTCCTTGTGTGGCACGGCAGATTGTATTTTTGGATTTGATATGCCCTGCCTTTGTGTCCTTTTACACTTAGACACGTTAGTTTTACCTCCATGTCAGCTGCAGGTTCTTTGATGAGTAGGACCGTATCTCGTGTGTTTCTCCATGATACCTGATGTCACACTGGTCACACGGGCGGTCATGTGATGGGCTAATTTCTTGGGTGAAGGGTCAGATCTTCAGCTTGGCTCCTCTCCCTTAGTTATTCTGAGTTCAAAATGATCGAGACTTAAGGGAATTTATAAGTGATACTGATACAATATCAATTCAGTGTTACAGAACAATCCTTATGCTGAGTAAGTAGATAGTTAACAGGCTAACACTTTTATTTCTAATAAGTAATAAATTGCAGAGAGCCAAATGCTTGGCTGTCATTTTCAGGCAGAGAATTTATAAGTTATTTATTTCAGCTGCTGATTTGAGAATTCACCTTTAAGGCAATTTACATTTTCCATTGAATTTTTTTGTTTTTCTGTTTTTTTAAGGACCCACAAACTCCTTGAAATATGTCCCTTTAGTAACAGGCTTAGCTTCTGCCCGAAACTTGGAACATTTAGAAATGGTTCGAGTTCCTTTCCTTGGAGGTCTTATCCAACATGTAGTTGAAGACAGTTGGAGATCAGGTATTCAGTTTTCTTTAGTTACTAATATTTTAAAAAGCAGTTAAAAAATTCGTTAAGCTTTTGTTTAGCTTCTCTTAGAGTCTTTTTAAAATAAAATGCTTATTAATAATTACACTTTCTGTCTGGTGTGTTTTATGGAGACTAAGTAACCATGAGCATGAACTAATTCATTCTTTTTTATGCAGTGTTAAACCTTTGCAATGTAAATAGAAGAATAATAGCACATGTTCTCTGGCTTGTTAACACTTATTCCTTATATATATCTGTTATATTTGGAATCTTTCTGAGAAATGTTAACGGATTTCTAGTGCCCTTTAGTGACTAAGAAATGTTTTTGACTCGGACACCTTAAGCCTGTGAAAGAACTCGGACATTACTACATTTGTTTAACACTTTATGGTATATAGAATGCTTTCAGGTTTATCAATACTATGTTAAAATATGACTAGGCACTAAATTTTCAGATATTTGTCAGTTAATCCAGTCTGGTGTAAGTGTACTTGATTACATTGTGTGAAGAGGATGGACCAGCCTCCCTGAAGGTCAACAGCACTGTTTTTATTCCATGTCTGCAGCTAACAGGACAAAGTCAGTAGGGAAAACATCATAGTGAAACCATTCATTAGAGAGAAGACCTGGAGAGAGGTTCCAGAAGCTGAGAGTTCTTACAAAGGTCCTAAAAGCATCAGAGACTTTTCTTCCTTAAGAAGAGTTTAAGAATGACTCTGCCTTATATTTTACTTAACAAGTCAGCATACTTCACACAAAAGTTAAATCTAGATAGATCATATATCCAAATGTGGAAAATAAGAAAGTTTTTAAAAGACGATTTAGGAAAATGTCTTCTTGACCTTGGGTAGGCAAAGATTTCTTAAACATGGTACCAAAAAGCACTTACCATAAAGAAAAAAATGGATCAACTGTATTAAATTAAAATTAAAATTAAAATTCTTTTTTTGTTAATTAAATGACATGTTTAAGAGAGGGAAAAGCCAAGCTACAGAGTGAGAGAAGCTATTTGCAATACAGTTTTCAGATAAAGGACTTACATCCAGAATATATAAAGAACTTCTAAAATTAATGAGAAAAGCACAGACACAACCCAGTAGGAAAAATGGGAAAACAATTTGAATATCAGACTTCAAAAAGAATATCCAAATGGCCAGTAAACATGAGAAAATGATGAACTGCATTAATCATTAGGGAAAAGCAAATTAAAACTACAGTGTAACACACAAGCAATAACATGACAATGGTGTTGTCTAGGGTGTGGATCAACACAGCCTTTCATACACTCCTGGTGTGACTATGAATTGGTTCAACCACTTTGAAATACTATTTGGTATATCTGTTAAAGTTGACCATACAAATACCAGTTGCATTCATGGTTTTAAACCCAAGAGAAATGCATACATATGTTCACCAGGAGATGTATTCAAAGTTGTTCTTGGTAGCACTGTTCATATTAGCCCCCAAACAGAAACTACTCAAATGCCTGTCAGCAATAAAATGGATAAGTGAAATGTGGCATATTTGTTCAAAGGCATACCATGCAGCAATTAGAATGAACAAATTACAGCTACATACAACAGTGAGGATGAATCTCATAAACAAAATTTTTAGTGAAAGAAGTCAAACTCAAGTGTATATACATACTATGTGATTTTATTTATAAGTTCAAAACAAACGAAATGTTGAGTTGTATACATTAATAATTTGTGTCCTTTTTTGGCTTGTATTTACAAGTTTCAGAAACATGGGAAAAAATGGCTGAAGTTAAAGTAATTCTGGTCCTACTACATATGATAGATAGAGTCTCAAACTTTGGCTAGAAAATGTAAGGATCCCTTCTGTACAGTTCCCTCATGAGCCTGTGGCTCTGAAAATCCTTACTTAAAAGTTGAAATAATTTGGAGTAATTTTCAGATGTCATCAGAATGTCTTTTCAGAATGATAGTATCTGTTTCAATAGTCATAATTCATCTTGAGGTACTAATTTGAATGTATAAGAAAACTTAGATTTACTTTCAAACATAATTAAAGTGTGCATAAATGCTTTACTAAAAGTGCTATTGTCAAATGAAATGCTTACTATTTTTGTTCCTTTTCTCTTTTAACTAGGTGGTTTTAGAAATTTGCACACTATTGTTTTGGGAGCTTGCAAGAATGCTCTTGAAGTAGATCTTGGTTACCTCATCATTACTGCTGCCCGTAGGTACGTTTCCTCTTCACATCGTGTCTTTTGTCTTGGAATTATGTGGGTCTGTTTTTTTAAAATTTGGGGAAATGTATATATGAAGTTTGATCATGCTTTGCTCAGATTTAAAATACAAAGTTGTGTACGTGACAGTAGGGTATCGCTTAGTGGTAGTCTTAGGCTATGACTGAGGGCAGTTGAGCTGCACTGCAGACCTAGAAAGCTGGGAAAGGTTGTGGTCTTGTCAGGAGAGCCATCAGTTCTCTGGAGGTACCTGAGACTCCATCCGCAGTCAGTATTGGTGCTGTGGTGTCTGCAGCCCTTTCGGGAGCCATTATCTCAACCTCTATGATTTTCTAAATTATAAAACAGTTGTCGATAATAATATTCGCTATGCAGACATCTGTGTTTTAAATCAGTTTTTCGGAGTCCTGACCTTGTAACATCTTTATATTTTTAACACGTTCCTATCACTTCATGCCGCATTTACTTTTTCCTGTGTATCAAAAGTGTCCCTTTACTTTTACTTTTATAGTATTTTACCTAAATTGAATTAACCATTTTCTCAATTTACTGAAAAACAAACTCTTACTTTCCATCAATAGACTATTAAGAATATAAATAAAACTGTTTCTAAGTTTTAAGTTATTAGGTATTGTTACCCACTTACAAAACTGTGCTTTTTGTTAAAATGGGACCTAATATCATAAAAAAGATGTTAGAAGATCATCAGATGCAGATTTCTCACCTTGATTTAATCAGGTTACAGAAAGCACTTGGAAAGGATATAAGATTAATGTAACTTCAGTCTACTGCCTAAGATGTGCCCACACTTTGAAAAATGCTCCTTTAAAGGAAATATCTGATATTTTTTAATAGAGGCAGGGAAAGTTGTTTGCATTTGACACTTCAGTTAAGATAAACTTCTTTCAGAGCCTACATTAGGAAGAACCTTTCATTCTGACGGCTTTCATGTTACTCTGATACGTATCTTTGTTTATAGGTTACATGAAGTTCGGATCCAGCCTTCCCTAACCAAAGATGGCGTCTTTTCTGCCCTGAAGATGGCAGAGTTGGAGTTCCCCCAGTTTGAGACCCTTCATCTGGGATATGTAGATGAGTTTTTGCTGCAGAGTAAGACTTACCCCATTTTATTCCCTAGAATTGCTGTATGGAACTTACTTGACAAACAGCAGCCTGAATTGGGATGTTCTAAACGTTTCTGAGTATAAGACAACTTAAAATCTTGGGTATTCCCACTTCTTGAAAAGGAAACTTTTTAATTAAACTTCAGGTGGCAGGGATTTTTATTTTTATACATTGCCTCTGATTTTAGTGTATTATAGAAAATACTGATGAATAATATACCCAAAAAAGATTCTTACCTACGTTTGATATTGTCTCCGCTTCACTGCCCAGGTTTCTTTCCCGCTCTGCTTCATTTTTTCACAGAATGTCATCCTTGGTTCCATTTGTTGAATTTGATCTGCCATACTTCTTGAAGCTTTTGATGGTCCTCTCAGATGAGGACCATACCCTGTCCGTGCTCTTCATTTCCATAATAAACCCACTGGGGGTTCTGGATTTTCCAGATAGTGTGAGCACATAATGGTCAGTATTCATTTAATGATGATTGCTGTTGGAAGGCTTGTTCACAGCATTTTCTAGAGTATATTTACAATTGGGAACTCATTCCTTTGGGTTTGAATGCATGTCAATTTATTGTTCAGACTTTCCCTACATGACATTAGTCAGACATGCACGAACATTTTTACCACCGGCGATTTTTTATTTTTGCAAGAATTAGTTTCTTCCCCATGTAATTTGTGACAAGTCTTTCTTAAACTCTTACTATTACACCAGATGGTATTTTTTTCTTTGGATCTGATTTGTGTTTGTAGAAGAGCATCAGAGGGCTTGATTCCTCTGGTCAGGACAGTTTGGGTCAGACAGCATGACTGTGGTTCTTTCTCATTCCTGACGTATGTCACGGTGGTGGTTGTCTGGTTGTTGATTTTTCCCTTTGTCGCTGCACTCGCATTAATGCAGGTGAAGGATTAAAAAATAAAATCATTTATCTTCTAGCCAATTTAACGCAGGAACTACTTTTAATCTGTATAGCTTTGACAAAGATCTGCTCTTCACCAACATAGCTTTAAAATGCTAGACTAGTATAGTATTTTCGTATAAAATCAATGTACTCGTTATCAAGCTTTTCTAGTTTCAGATGAGTTGCTTACATTTTCTGTTTCTACAATATTTATGTATTAACAAAATTACTGGCTTTTGGTAATCTTGTTTTATGTTCTTTCCAAAAACTCAAAAAAGCTCAAAATTTGACAAATTTTTTGTCTTCAGGATGGCCACTTTAGGCTCACTGAAAGATTGTGTTTACGAGTTAACTTTATAGTCAGCTATTTCCCTATAGTGTTTCTTTCCTGTTAAGACCCATTTTCAATACAAGAACACTTTTACAAAACTTTTGACTACCATTATCTTATACTTCTCAACAAAACTTGTTTCATGGTCTGTCATATTTAATATTCTCTTAGTTTTGACCTTTTTATAAGCCATTCTTTTCATATTTGCTGTAGTTCATCCAATTCTCCCATATACATCTTCTCCGTTCCTGTAAAGACAGCCCAGGATTCTCTGTATCAGAATAGGTGCTGGGCTTCTCTAGCAGGCTCTAGAGGGAGATGAGATGTCACTGGGTTTGTCACGTGAGGCTGCAGTATTTCTGCAGACAGCACCTAAGAAATAGGCTCAGTTCAAGATTTTCCCAATTGTGAGGGAGAAGGCAAGTTTCAAGTTCAAAGGTCAAGAAAGGGGTTCTTGCCAGGAAGCTTAAGAAAGCTGCTCAGTTAAATTGCAAAGGACAGATTAAGGTGGAATCTGCAAGGAATGCTGGTAAATTCCCAGTACAGGAGCTACAGGAGAGTAAGCATGAACTGCATGGAAACTGGAAGAGTTTGGAGTATGGTTGTTCTAAACGTGTCTGAGCTACAGGTCTAAGTCCCTGTCATGTGTAGGGCAGCTTCATCAGAGAAGGAGTGTTTTCTTTGAACCTTGTGTCATTCATTGCAAGCACTGTGAGGGAGATACATTGAGTTCCTATATGCCCAGCACTGTGCTGGACATTGAAAATATTACTGTGAATTAGACACAGTTCCTTTTTTCCTTCAAATTGCTCGTGTCAGGTGGATCACCCTAGAGAGCAAAGGGCAGGCAATGGAGGAAATGATGGTAGGAGGGAAGAGATGAAGTGTGCATTTCCAGTGGCGTCATCTAGCATGGAGGATCCTGTTTTACTTATAACCACCCCCTGAGTAGAACAAGACTACTTGTTTGTTTTTACCTAAATGGCACTTCATCTAAAGTCCAGTGGCAGAAAATGTGTGTTTGAGTTAGAAGTCCACTTTCAGGGGATCAGTATATATTTACTAACCAATCCCGAGAGCTCTAAAAATGGAGCTGAATTCCCAGTTTACTCTTCATTACACATGGCTACACCCAACTCCAAAAACACAATCAATTCCTCTGGTCAGGACAGTTTGGGTCAGACAGCATGACTGTGGTTCTTTCTCATTCCTGACGTATGTCACGGTGGTGGTTGTCTGGTTGTTGATTTTTCCCTTTGTCGCTGCACTCGCATTAATGCAGGTGAAGGATTAAAAAATAAAATCATTTATCTTCTAGCCAATTTAACGCAGGAACTACTTTTAATCTGTATAGCTTTGACAAAGATCTGCTCTTCACCAACATAGCTTTAAAATGCTAGACTAGTATAGTATTTTCGTATAAAATCAATGTACTCGTTATCAAGCTTTTCTAGTTTCAGATGAGTTGCTTACATTTTCTGTTTCTACAATATTTATGTATTAACAAAATTACTGGCTTTTGGTAATCTTGTTTTATGTTCTTTCCAAAAACTCAAAAAAGCTCAAAATTTGACAAATTTTTTGTCTTCAGGATGGCCACTTTAGGCTCACTGAAAGATTGTGTTTACGAGTTAACTTTATAGTCAGCTATTTCCCTATAGTGTTTCTTTCCTGTTAAGACCCATTTTCAATACAAGAACACTTTTACAAAACTTTTGACTACCATTATCTTATACTTCTCAACAAAACTTGTTTCATGGTCTGTCATATTTAATATTCTCTTAGTTTTGACCTTTTTATAAGCCATTCTTTTCATATTTGCTGTAGTTCATCCAATTCTCCCATATACATCTTCTCCGTTCCTGTAAAGACAGCCCAGGATTCTCTGTATCAGAATAGGTGCTGGGCTTCTCTAGCAGGCTCTAGAGGGAGATGAGATGTCACTGGGTTTGTCACGTGAGGCTGCAGTATTTCTGCAGACAGCACCTAAGAAATAGGCTCAGTTCAAGATTTTCCCAATTGTGAGGGAGAAGGCAAGTTTCAAGTTCAAAGGTCAAGAAAGGGGTTCTTGCCAGGAAGCTTAAGAAAGCTGCTCAGTTAAATTGCAAAGGACAGATTAAGGTGGAATCTGCAAGGAATGCTGGTAAATTCCCAGTACAGGAGCTACAGGAGAGTAAGCATGAACTGCATGGAAACTGGAAGAGTTTGGAGTATGGTTGTTCTAAACGTGTCTGAGCTACAGGTCTAAGTCCCTGTCATGTGTAGGGCAGCTTCATCAGAGAAGGAGTGTTTTCTTTGAACCTTGTGTCATTCATTGCAAGCACTGTGAGGGAGATACATTGAGTTCCTATATGCCCAGCACTGTGCTGGACATTGAAAATATTACTGTGAATTAGACACAGTTCCTTTTTTCCTTCAAATTGCTCGTGTCAGGTGGATCACCCTAGAGAGCAAAGGGCAGGCAATGGAGGAAATGATGGTAGGAGGGAAGAGATGAAGTGTGCATTTCCAGTGGCGTCATCTAGCATGGAGGATCCTGTTTTACTTATAACCACCCCCTGAGTAGAACAAGACTACTTGTTTGTTTTTACCCAAATGGCACTTCATCTAAAGTCCAGTGGCAGAAAATGTGTGTTTGAGTTAGAAGTCCACTTTCAGGGGATCAGTATATATTTACTAACCAATCCCGAGAGCTCTAAAAATGGAGCTGAATTCCCAGTTTACTCTTCATTACACATGGCTACACCCAACTCCAAAAACACAATCCTTATACTGTTAGTATGAGTTACATTGTTAACATTTTTTCTTTTTAAAAGGTTAAACTAAAACTTCACCCTAGGTGTGGACCAATACATCCTTTAACTTTGCTTTAAACATTTTTGCTTTCCTTTTTCTTTCTCCAAACAACTGAAAAACTTTTTTTCTTAACTACCTGTCCATTGACTTTTAATATAAATTATTTTTTTCACAAAATAAATGCTACCATTTGTACAGAATATATAACCTAAAATTGTACCCAAACCTGAACTTGATAATGGACAGATGATACTGAACAATCATAAAGTGGTCATACTGGATGTTAAGATAAAGAAATGGCAACAGTCTAGGACACTTATCTATTTTTTTAATTCTCTTTTTTAATTTCTCTTCCCAGGCAGAATGGCCAATGCAGATCTGGTGAAGTTTGGTTTGGCTGATGTGGTAGAAAATCCTGGTATCATCACCGATATAGGGATGAAGGCAGTCAATGAAGTTTTCTCTTGTATCAAATATCTGGCAATTTATAATTGCCCCCATCTACATAATCCATACAATTGGATCTCAGGTACTATATACTTAAACATGGCTATGTTTTATTGATAAAGAAATAATTGATGTCTTTGTTTTTTCCTGTGTGGTATGAATTGTATTCATAATGTAAAACGGAGATACTGTATGTGGATTGTTCATACATAAGTTCTGGGACTTTTCATAACTGAGTTGGAAGTATATTAGACTCGCTTTGAACTCTTGAAATTCTCTGCCTTCAAATTTGCACTGTCCAGGTAATGAATTCAACCGCCTTGATCCTTACATATGTTTCTGTGGGCTAGGCACATGAGATTAAGGGTAGGAATTGTTGCCTGGGATGTGATAGTTGTTTGTTTGTTTGTTTGTTACCCAAATGGCACTTCATCTGAAAGGACAAAGTGGGTATGTGCAAAAAATAATTAGGTGACACATTAAACATTAACTCCTTTAGTGACATTTTCTATCTTAAAATCCTAGGTCTTTTCAGATCTCCCCTCCCCACTTGGTCTCTTGTGTTGATAAGTATGACTTTTGCCCTTGATATTTTCCGTTATGGGGGAAGCTCATTTTCCTCCCTGAGAGAGTAATGTTACTTATTTCTTTTAAGGCCCTTCTTAAATACCTAAATATAAACCTTTAAATGAATTCAGAGCTAGAGAATTTTGGCATGACATCCATTTTAAGCACACCAAGCCCCCTGCCTGACACCTGCAGAATAGCCTCCTGTGTTGTTGGAGTCCCTTCACAGGGATACACACTATGGCTCCTCACAAAGCTCACCTCCAGGCCCATGTTCAAGCTTGGGGCCTTTGCGGAGACCACTCAGTAGAATGGCTGTGTCTCACCCACCAGGAGTGCATTTCCAGCTGCACCAAGAAGTTATTGGGAAATACAAACTTTAGGTTGTAGCAGGCATAGATCAGTTTTAAAAAATAACATTTATTGGGTTTTGGTTTGTTTGTTTTCTTAAATACAGAAGAGTATAAAGAAGAAAACAAAAATGGCCTATAATCCCATCATTCAGAACTCCTGTTAACACTTAAAAACTAAAAGTTATACATGCACTTGATAAACAATATCAAACAGTACAAAAAGGTACAAAATGAAAAGTCTCCTCTTCTCAAAGGTAACCACCATCAACAGTTTCTTATATATTCTTCTGGACAGATTATTTTATGCATATTGCAGCTTATACATGTATAATACTTAAAAATGATTTATATATACAAAAGGACCTTACTGTGTATACACTATCCTGTAGCTTGTGTTTTGCACTGAGTATTTCGGGTAGCTTTTCATATCAGCAGGCATATTTGGTTCACCTTCATTCTTTTATTAACTGCATAGTGTTCTACTAAATGAGTGCCCCGACATTCCTTCACCTCATGTCTTATTGCTGAATAGGCATGGGGATTGTTGGGTGTCTCGTGTCTAAATCAAGGCTCAGTAGTTCCCAAGACATCAAGTTCTCACAGTGTAATCGGGTGAGGAAACAGCATAGTCAAGAGCAGCAAATTTTAGAGATCAAGAGATAGAAGTTACTTAAAGGAAAAGGATTTGGAAGTCTTTGAGACCTATAGCAAAATTCATCAGTAATGGAGTAAGCAATACTTAACTTCTCTCCCTCCACATCATTTCCTCAACAGACCACTCAAGATGGACTCGCTTGGTTGATATCAACTTAGTACGGTGCCATGCTTTGAAGCTGGACTCCTTCGGCCAGTTTATTGAATTGTTGCCCAGCCTGGAGTTTATTTCACTGGACCAGATGTTTCGTGAGCCACCCAAAGTAGGTCACATTTGGGAGAGTGTTTATTTTGATATACCAGAAGGAAAACAAAATGACCTAAGTTTTTTTCTTTCTAAGAATACGCCTTTATGTGTTACATATAACTGGACTTTTTACTGCCAGCCTGAGTGAAGGCATAAAGGTTATAATAATGCACGGCCTCTTCTTGTTCTTGTAAATGAGTATTACGCAGTCTCCAAAGAAGGGAAAGGAAAAAGTAAGATGGAAGCTGTCTCCGTCAGGTCTATAAACTGAAGGTAAGGTAAGAGCAGAGATGGAAATTAGAGCTAGGTCAAAAATTATTAGTAAGAGTAATTAGATGGGAAATTAAATCTCTAATTAGGAACCCAAAATATAAATAAGGATTAGGAATTTATTTTGGAAATGTTTTACTTTGCTGCTATCTTTTCTATTCACTTCTATATCCTAGGAAATCTGAGGTTGACCATTTGTACAAAATGTTTTAAAACTGCTTAACAAATAGAACTTTATACTCTAACCATAGTAAAACTTAATGCTTCAACTATTTATGCTTTCTCTTGTCACTTCTTAATGGTTATGTTCCCACTGTTGGAGCAGTGCAGTATAGCAAGAAAAATCCAGGATTTGAGGTCAGGGTACTGGGTATCAAGTCCCAGTTGTACCAATTATGGTCACGTGCTGTTGGGCAGATTTCATCCCATTGTGCAACTCATCATCTATAAATCAAGACTAATAATTTTATCTTGTTTGAAGTGTTCTGAGCCTTAATAACGTCCTTCATGCATATGTGATAGTATTTCATAAGTCAAGTGCTATGTAAATTGTTCTTATATAAAGTTGAAATGAAGGAATATTAAAAATAAAGTGTTCTATACTAACCCAAATTACCAAGCATGTGGTTTTGTCTTGCCCAGGGTTGTGCTCGAGTTGGACTGAGTGCAGGCACAGGAATTGGAGTTTCCTCAGCTCTCGTTAGCAACCAGAACTCCAACAATGACAATGATAATAATGCCCAGAATAATGCCAACATCCACGACAACAATCACCATCACCCAGACGACTCAGATGAGGAGAACGACTTCCGGCAGGACTTGCAGCCCGGAGAGCAGCAGTTTGCAGCCGACGGTAACCCAGCTCTTTTGTGAGCTCCAGATAGAAATGATTTTTTACTTTGGATTATATTTATCTAACTCTGCTGTGTTCCCTTCCCCACTATTTCAGCTTGTCACTTTACACGTCAGGGGACCTAGGTGACAAGGCAAATAAATGAAAGGGTGGATGGAATTGGCTGATCTGCTGGCTTGTTTAAAGCTGAGTTTGTGACGCCACTTGTCCACGGAGTCTCTCAGGGTGCCCACAGATGGGGAGGACTCAGGTGCCAAGGGCATCAGAGCACAGTGGACTATGTAGGCCTGATTTTAAAATGTAACTTCCAGGATTTGAGCAAAGGAACATCTTTTAATATCTCCCTGAGCAATATGTAGGTACATTTTTGAATGTTGCAGGAACTGAAAAAATGAATACCACTTGTGTACTAGACATTGTGTTGGACACCTTTCACAACCACCCTGCAAATTAAGTACATGAGGTAATAAATGTTGGTTTTTGTTTGTATGATTATTCATATTGACTGAGCATCTGCTGTGCGCCCGACCGCGTGTCATCAGGCAACATCTGCTCTTCTGCTGATACGTGAGGAGGGAGTGAAAATGTTGCTACCCCCGATTTTCCAGGTCCCCAGTTGACCCTTAAGATTGGGGAAAGCACTGTCTTCTAGCCATCTTGCTGCTGTTGTGCCTTCGCCTACCCTCTTGGACATACTAATTAAGGAGACATAGGTACCCTGAGGTTATGTGACTGTTTTTGTAATGAAAGCACGCTGTGTGTAGAGTGTAAGTTCCTTTAGGATCACGCCCAAGTGTGCAGGTTCTGACCTCAGGCACCTGTAGGCATTGTCTTCACTTTCTCACCTCCCACGTTCTCTGCAGAGCTCTCCATTCTGGCTCTTGGCAAAGTCACCAACGACTCTCCTATGAAAGCTCGTGCTCATTTCTCCACTTTCACCTTAGTTGTCATCTCAGCAGCATTTGTCGTTGTTGCCCACTTCTATCTTCCTGAGATATTTTCTTCACTGGGCATCTCTGAAACCATTTTCTTGTTTTTTTCTCCTGTCTCAGTGTACATGCCTTCTTAGTTTCCTCTGCTTGTACCACCTCCTCTGTTCCACTTTCATCCTTGTTCTTCCTCTTTTTCTCTACACATTGTCTCTAGAAAATGGATATTGACTGTAACTACATTTATACTTAACTTTCAATCTGTAGGCCTCTCCATGGTTTTGGACCAAGCCCAGACTGAAGCCGAGCCATTCTCTTTTATTGCCCTGTTGTATTTAACTTCACTTGTATTAAGTAACTGAATTTAAAAGAAGGGCATTGTTTAATTTTAAAAGCTATTGAATCTGTGTAAGTTAAGTGGCTTTGCTTGTAAACTCCTGTAATAAATCATGGTGTGTTTTTAGTGAATATTGTTTTGCAGGGTACTGTATAGGTTTCCCGTGCTACCCAGATGTAGGCATTCCTGTGAAACTTTTTGTAAGCTGGAATGTTAAAATGTGAAGAAGCAGTTACCATTAATTTATAATAGAAAAATTGTTCAGCCTTCCCAGACCCCAAAATAACCTCCCAGGCTTTTCTGACACCTTAGGACAGATCTCATTAAGGAATGTACCAAATAAATGGAGATGAAGGACAGATACTCACAAACACAGCTCAAGCCCTGGGAGCTGGATGCTGAGGTGCTGAGCGTAGTTCCCCGGAAAGGACCTCCACGGCGCCGCTCATGGCTCGGGGGCTGCTGCCTGTTTATCGATTGACTTGAACCCTGTTTTCACTTTCACCTCTTTGCAGAAGCGAAAATCCCCTTCAGATTTCTTTCAGTTACTGAAACAGATATTAATGTAGGTCTTTCATAGAGGTGGAGTGGCACAAGATGAACTTTCAAAAAGCAGGGATACCTGTATTAATTAACCAAAATTTTATAATTGGGTAAGGATGTTATCTTTCTTAGATCCAAATTTTTAAAAAGTCTTATTAAACATTTATTGTGGGATAGTTATGGTAACTGAAAATATAGGTTCTTTACCTGCATTTTATAGTACTATAAAACAGGAACAGATATTCATATTTTCTAACAATTCTCATTTGCCTAATACAAACTTCCCGTATGTAAAAATCATGCCTCTCTCATTGCTAAAGCATATTGCCCAATTATTTTAAAATAGTTTACTTTGAAGTAATTATTAATCATGAAGTATAGTTTTGCTGCTTAAATGTCACTTAACTAATTTTATATCTTCATATAAAACAAATCCCGAGTACTTACTGCTTTTAAAAATGCTGTGCCACCACCCCCTTCCCTCACCAGCAGCCCCCTAAATCAACCACTAACCAGCACTGCTGTGCAGATTTTGTTTGGGCCGCGCCTCGGATGCTTGAGTGCGTCGGAATTGCCTGGAGGGCTCGTCAGGACACACAGTGCCGGACTTCCCCCGCATGTGTCCCGTGTGATTGGTCTTTTGGGGCCAGATAATTTGCATTTCTAACAAGTGCCCAGATGATCCTGCTGCTGCCGGTCTGGGATCATGCTTTCAGGCCTCTGATTTGTGGAAAGTCCTTGTTTTTGAAGCCTCAGGGCAAGCTACAATGTGAAAAAAAATTCTCAGTAAGTACATTTTGTTTTAGATTTTGGGGCAGATAACTGCCAACCACTAAATCATATTTCTGATACTAGAAATCACTGCATGGAAATTATTTTGTTAAAAAGCAGTGAGTTCTCATTTATTTTATAATATAATGAAGATTATAAATTTCTAATCAGGTTTTATATAAAAGAGGCCAGTTAGTATATTTGTAAAAATAGCTTGGATCCATTAAGGTTTATGATTTGCTTCTGTAACGGGTTTTTTAAATAACTGAAATAACATTTTAGCTGAACAAAATACATGGTAAACATTGATACTTGATCAAAAGATAGCTTACACAATTGCTGGTAAGTTGAAGTTGTTCTGAAAAGATATGCTACCCTAATAATATAATATTTTGAAACAGAGATAAAAATCACAGCCAAGAGTCCCCTGCACCTTCCCTTGCCCAGAGGCACCCCCCCCTCATTTAAACATGAGAGGCATGAATCGGGGTGCTCTCCTTTCTGTACCATGTGCCTGTTCTCCACCACCTTGGGCCCTTTAGCAAGTCCGGTTGACTGTCTCCGAAACGTCTCCTCTGCATTCTCCTTTCCTATTGTACCACCACTGTGGGAACTTTTCTTCCCTAAATGTTGTAACGGCTTTCAAACTGGTCTCCCTACTTTTTCTTGCTCAGCTAAAGTTAGTTCTTAGAACAGCCGAGGCAGTCTTTTTCAAACGCAGATCTGATAGCTCTGATCCCTTACTTAAAACTTGCCAATAGCTTCCCAACTGCCTTAGAAAACCTAAGTCCAGTTTCTTGATCCCGTGTAGGCCATAAAGTGCTGTATGATCTGACCTCTGCACTCCTTGTGCTACTGCCCCCACTCACACACCATCTTGAATATGCCACCTGGCACCTGCTTTACCCTGCTGCTGCCTCTTGGAGTGTCTTTCCCTCTGTCTTTGCATGGCTGTCTCCTCCTTGATATTTAGGATTGAACTTAAATGTTAATCTTAGAAGAATCTTTCCTTACCCTTTTTTTCTATTGAGGTATAATTGACATATAACATTATATCTGTTTCAGTTACACAGCATAGTGATTTGATATTTGTATGTATTGTGAAATGATCACCACAGTAAGTCTAGGAAACATGTCACTGTACGTAGTTACAGTTTTTTTCCTTGTGATGAGAAATTTTGAGATCTATTCTCTTAGCAACTTTCAAATACGTAATACAGTATTATTAGCTATAGTCACCATGCGGTAATTACATTCCCATGACATTTATAACTAGAAGTTTGTACCTTTTTACCACCATAACACATTATCTTAGGTAGCCACCAGTTCATTCTCTATTACATCACCTTCTTTTAATTTTGTTGCATTAGATACTACTATCCGACGTTTTCATTTAGTGACATTTGTCATTTGTCGTTCTTCTCCCAACCGGACTAAGCTTCACGAGAAAGGAGATCTTGAGTAGCACCACTGTCCCTCAGCACCCAGGGATGGCAGCATGCAGTGGCAGGTGCTTAGGAAATACATGGGTGGGTGAGCGCAATGAAGGAAGTTAAGTTTAAAATAGCTTTGGGTGTTACATTAAATGCTTCCACAGCCAAATCTGGCAACCTAAAAAGCAGTTGCTCAGCAGCTTTGGAAAGCCTTAGCACACAGACATGCAAAAGTACTTGTGTTCTAGTGGCTCCCCTCTACCTATAAAAAACAAGGAGAGGCTTTCTGGCTAGGCTTTCTAAGCTTTTCACAATCTGCGTCCCAGGCTATCTTTTTAGCTTTGTTTTCCCTTTCACACCCTTATCTTGACACAAACACTTGTTCTGTTTATCAGCGGATCACTTACTCTTCTGGAAAATGCACCATGCTTCCTAGTGTATATGAAGTGTTGCCTCATCTCATTGAAACCTTCCCTGCCCAACAGGAGAATTAACTGCTCCTTTTTTGTCTGTATTCGGCTTCACTTGGACTGTTCCAGCACTTAGCATATTCGTACTTTGTTCTGTGAATCTGACATCGCTGCTAAAATGCATGCCTTCTTTTGGAGAGCAGGGACTAAGAATTTCCCATCTCATCATCCCTGTATTGTAGCTGGCTCAGGAAACAAATATCAGTTCAAATCCTAGCAAATTACTAGACCTTTTAAGCCACAGTTTCCTCAACTGCAAAAATCAGGCTAGTAATAACATCCATCTAAAAATGCTTTAAGAAATAAAAAGCTAATGTATATAAAAGCATTTAGCATAGGGCCTGGCATAGAGTATGTATACATTAATTACTAACTGCTGTTCATAATTGTTCGTAAGATTGAAAGAAGAAAATTGGATTTTATCATGGAAGGTTTCTCTGTACGGTCAGTCCTCGTTTTGGCACTGAATAATATGTAGATATTGAGGTCTAGAACTAGGCAAGAAGTTGGGGTAGGAGACTGAACATTAAAGGGAGAGTGTGCTGTTGTGTATATATTGAGACCAAAGCAAATGCCACTGTCTATAAAATCTTAGCCCTCACTACTGAATGTATATATTCCCATAGCATTTATCTGGGTGATGTATTTCTGGCTTAATCATATTTACCTCGTTTCTTTGTTAACTGTATGAAGTTGTCTTCTGTCAAGTAGACTATTTGGTTCTTTTAAGAATAGGATCTTGTTTTGTCTTGTTGGTTTATTGATTTCATTCCTGTGGTCAGCTGATAATTCCACAGCAGTAGTGGCAAAGCACCTGTAGGCGTGGAGGACGTAGCGGTGAACAGGGCAGAGGCTGCTCTCTGGGCCATGGCTGAGCTGTGAACGTCAAGGGCAGCATTGTACCGTCCTTATTAGGCACAGAGGCTTAGGTAGTGAGAGTACTGAGTTCAGTGCCTTGAATCCTGACTTGAGGGATTTGAATTGAATCTTGTAAAAGTTTGGCAAAGCCAGGAATTATTTTATTTAGGGATCCTCTTGGAAGAGTAGCCATTTTATCTTAAGAAAATACGGGAAACTGCGGCTCATCAGTCTGGTATTGCTCTCGGCATATGTCTTCTGGGAAAATATAGGTGCGCTGACAGGCCCTATAACTGTAGTGAAGACTTCAATGAAAATAAAATACTTGAGTGTAATCAAAATGTTAAAAGTGTAGTGTATGTATTAATCCTTTCCAAAAATGATACCGTAGTCTTAGAGAGTAGGAAAAGAGGAGGACACTTTGAGCTCGCCTGCCAGTGCATCCTGGGTTAGCTACCAGATCGTGAGGACTTCCTGCTTGGGGGATGACCCTGAGGTCCAGCAGGCGGCTGTCACCGCTTCAGGCAAGTAGCTCGGAGGGAGAGAGACCCCCCGCGGCCATCCCTGGCAGCGTCTGCAGGAGTGACCGTGGTGCTCTCTGCTCTCTGCTCTGTGCCTCTGCCCCTGCTCTCATCTCACAGGGATGGACTTTCTCCACTGAATGATCTTTCCTATCCATGATTTCCTCTCCGGTAGAATAACTGCACACTTCTAATGTCTACATAGCCGAGCCCAGTTATGTGCTGTTCTCCCAGAGTAGGCTGATAGTCATGGTGCTGTTCACTTTCAGGGGTGCCGCAGGTTTGGCTGCCATCTTTTAGACCTCTCTGGTTTCCCTTTGACTGTCTTTACTTGTGTTTCAGCATTGAATGAGATGGAAGACATGGTGCAAGAAGATGGAGAGGTGGTGGCCGCGAGTGGACATGAGACTCCAGCTCACAGTCAGGCGGTTATTCCTGTGGATGTTGACGAGGAACAAGCAGGTATTCATTTGACTTCCCACAGTCGTGGTTCTGAAAACTAGGGCTTGACTTTAATGAAAAAAGTTAAACACTGAGAATGATTATTTCTTTGACATTATAGCTAATGATGTGTTGTATTATTTATTACTGAGACCTGTATATTATATTATTGTTCTTGCCACCTGTGTGTGTTGTATATATACTTTATTAAAGTTCATTCTTGATATTTTATAGCTGTGGCAGCACCTTCTTTCTCTGCTGGTATACACATGTCTGTATGTGTGCCTGCTTGTGTGTGTGTGTGTAGATGTAGAGAAAGAAAGATAGAAAAATAAATGACCTAATTAAAAATTCTGCTTATCCTTCCCTTCATTTTGGCAGGGACGAATTTAGTGAATAGGCCAAGATCCAGTCTCCATTTGCCATTGGGTGACTTATGGCAGGCTAAAAAGTCATAAGGCTCTTAAAGATTACTAATAAAACTTCATTTTACAGATGAATGTCCTTTACAAAGTTGGAGTGATTTGCTCAGGATCACTCAGCTAGTGCTCAGGGGGCAGAATTGAGATTAGAACTCAAGTTTCTACCTTCCTTGTCTGTCAGAACGCTATGTTGCCTTTGAATTGAGAATATCTTTATCCTTGTTTTCTAAGTGTTTTTTACAGATGCAGTCACTTACTCAACAAATACTTCCTGAGTGCCTGCGCTGTGCCAGGCATTGTACAATGTGACAGGAAAAAGACAGGCAAGGTTTCTTGAAGCTTACATTTTTTTTTGATGGAGTGAGTATCAGTCACTTGTCTGAGAGCGTTAGGTCATAAAATCTAAATGTTTACAAGGTGTACTGCCAAGCAGATAAAACATTTTTTATGTGAATACAAAACTTAAATAACCAAACTACTTCCATCTAACCTTTCAGGATTGTATCTGCTGCATCCAGTGAGCCAGACCTATCTATGCTCAGTTAGAGAATGCAGGCTTCTCACCAGTCTCTTAAGTGTCTGGGGTTCATCTTCATTTGCTTTGCCTTCATTCATACATTTGCAAAACTGGAAAAATACCTAGCTTATTTTTTAAGTGAGTGTCTGACTGTTAATTCGATTATTTGCTAGGGTGATTTAGGTGACCATTTCAAATAGTGAAGGTCCTGCAGGGGGATGCCGTATGATCTTCTGTTCAGCCTTTAGAAATACCTAATGTCGTTTGGCAAATGGATTCTGCTTACTGTTTACATAAGTAAGAGTTAAAATGTGTCACAATACCTCATCCAAGTATACATCCCGTTAAAATAGCCAAGGCAAATCTAGGAGCCCAGATACCTGGAAATAGTACTTTGAGTGAGAGCCTTTCTTGGCAAAAAGTAACTGTTAGGCCTGTGCCTTTTGTTTTAGGACCCAGTGGTCTGCAGCGCGTAGTAAAGCCAACGCCGATCACTGTTCACGACTCGGAGAGCGACGATGAGGAAGACAGCCTGGAGCTGCAGGAGGTCTGGGTTCCCAAGAATGGTGCTCGCCGCTATTCTGAGCGTGGGGACAAAAACGGGGAGCCACTGCAGTCCAGGGAATTGTCAGGTGAGAGGGTATTTCCTGTTCTGACCTGCCAGAGTCATCGTGAGAACTGACATGCTGGCCTCCGTGTAGTGTGTCCCTATCACAGCTTGTGGTGCAGGTGCCACCTGCTTGTGGCGTGTGACAGGAGGCAAGAAAGGCAATAGCCAGAGTGAGAGGGGAATCGGGGTGGAGCCGCCAAGGGCAAGCGAAGCACAACAAGCCACTGTGGAGTCACAGCCCAAGGAAGAGAGTATGTCAGGACTTTGAAGGCGGCGGAGGCTTGAAGAAGCTGTGGCAGCAGGTGTCACGGACTGCGAGAGGCCTGTGCCCCGCGGAGGGATGCCCCCCGAGCCCTCCAGAGCGATGAGAAGACAGCCGTTCCCCCGCTGATGGTCTGTCCGCTTGTGCTGTGCGAGGGGCGGTGGCAGTTCCGCGCTCGAGGCAGTCCTCAGGCTGTGTTATGGTCCCGTGCCTCCCTTTAAGCCCAGTCAGCAGCCTTCTGCCGTTTGCCTCACCAAGAAACTGTAATTCTCTTGACTTCTAGGCTCATACTCCTTCCTTTCTTCCCTTCTGTTTCTCAGAACCATGTGCCTACCACTGTCAGCAAAGGATGAGGTTTTCTAAAATGGTCCACTCATTTTTCCTTGGTTACCCTACTTCTTAATAAGTGTTTGAATGTGTTCAGGATACTTGTAACACTGCAACTGAAATACATATATACACTTCTGTGCATGGAAAGCTCAGTTCTTTAGGCCTGGAGTAATTTGCGAATCAACAACTGACTACTCAATTCTTATTTTATTCCTTTTAAGAAATTCAGATATGTTTACACTGTGGTTGAAAGGAGCATTTATGGAAACTGAAATTTAGGAAAAGTGTGACCAACTGACTGACCTAATGTTTCCTAGGAAGCTCAATTTCTGAGTTTAGAAGCTAGGTAACGAACCTTATTTATTTAAATCTTTCTTTGTCCATTGGTCGAGCCTTGCTGTGCCCCAGATGCTGTGTTAGATGCTATGAGGGGTGCAGATGGATAAGTCATGATCTGTCTCCAGGGAGGCTCCCGACTGCTCTAAGAGTCAGTTCAGTTACAGATGATCCTCTCACAGGGCACATACTGTGGAGGCCTTGCGGGGGCGGGGAAGGGGGTGCATAACATTGAACAGAAGTCCAAAGAGGAAATCCTAGGTGAGAGCAAAGGCCCTGAGGTAGTAAGGCAGGAGTCTGTTCAAAGAAAAGTCTGGGCTAGGGTGTGAAATGTATGCATAGGGGAGGAGAAAGGAGAGTTGGTTTGGAATTAGGTCCTGGTTAAGCCTTGAAGGCTGTGCTAGGGAGCGTAAACCAGGGAGGCACCAGGGAGCCCTAGGGAGTTTTAGAGCAGCCGAGTGATGTGGTCATCATTATACTCCAGGAAAATTAGTGTGCATTGTTTCCTGTTCCAGATTTGCTCTTGCCTTTTGTCCAGAATTTGTACTGAAATCTTTTCTTTTCCTCGGGCCATTCTTCTTTTTCTGTAAGCAGTAAGTGGAAAAGGAAAGACTCCACTTCGAAAGAGGTCCACCTCCCATCAGATGGGCCAGTCGAAGCAGTTTCCCCTCGAGGAGAGCAGCTGTGAGAAAGGCTGTCAGGTCACCAGTGAGCAGATCAAAGCCGATATGAAAGCAGCTAGGGACATTCCTGGAAAGAGAAAACCCAAGGATGCTTATCCCAGCTGCAGCAGCGCCACCGCCAGCACAGTGGGGAACTCCAGCTCACTCAGCACTGCTTCTCAGAGCCCCGACTTTGTAAGGACGGTGGACAGCAGCGGCTCTTCCGAGCCTAGCCCTCCAGAAGTGGATGTGTCCAGGCAGTGTGTCTGCCCCCCCGGTGGGGCAGAGGACTCTGAGCCCATGGAGGAGGGAGATGCAGAGAGTTCTGTCTGCCCCAGATGCTGCTGTCACAGGCCCCAGGAATCCCAAAGGAGAACTAGCAGGTGTTCTGATGAGGAACGTCCTTCAACCAGCCGAGCCTGTGTTGTGAATGGCCCGGATGGTACGAGATCCGCCTTTTCCTTTAGGACTCTGCCACCAGGGGGGTCCTCAGGCCCAGCACATGGTGAGAGGACTAATGGGAGTGGCTCGGGGGCTGCAGGCGAGGACAGGAGGGGGAGCTCCCAGCCCGAGAGCTGTGACGTGCAGTCTGAGGAAGACTACCCTCGGAGGCCCCTAACAAGGGCCAGGAGCAGACTCTCCCATGTACCGCTGGTACCTGAGTCAGGTATGACGATGCTGCCAGGATTAGCAACTGCAGGTTAGGACTTGGGAAGGCATTAGCGCATTCCATAAGTTCTCTCACCTAGAGCCAGTTCAGCAGATTGAATTCTCTGTTGGAGTTCTGTGATCATAAAGATTTTAAACTGATTTTTAGCAATGGTGGTGGTGGGTGGGGGGGATTGTAAAACAGCTTGTAAAATGTACAACCTAGATGAACTCAAATAGTTAAGATTCTAAGAACAATTTAACTGTGTCTTTTGACCCTAAATGAAGTACTGATTCTTATGTCTAAGTCCCAGTAGACATACTGCTCTCATCCCACACTTAGGGAAATCTTAACTCTTAGTGTAATTTTAAACCTTAGCCCAAAGGTAAGGACCTGAAGCTGCCCGGGGCTGGGGGCATATCATACGGGTGTACCACTATACCTGCCCCTGCAGTACTTAGCAATTTTTTCTGAAGTCTAATTTTGCTCAAAGTTAGGTTTGCCCAGAGATAAGAAGGTAAGGAAGTAGTTTAGCTGAGAATTATTTTGGTGAAGAATCACTTAAAACATACATACGTGTATAGTTTCATTATTAGTACTTACAGTGTGTTTGCCAAGGCATCGGGTTGGGTCGGGGGTGAGTGCATTTCTTAAATTAATCATTATTCTGTTAATGTTTTGTCCTTAATTTTTAAGTTGTCTCTCCTGCCTTTATTAAGTCATGAATACCTGTCAATGAATAATAATGTATTTTAATTTTCTCCAAGTCTCCCTCAATTTTAAAACCTTAAAATCAGCCCCAGAATATAGTGCTTCTTTTAATGTACTCAGTGGAGCTGATTGAATTATGTGTGATTAAAGTGACAAAAGTAAGCTTTCATAAGATAAATATGAGACCTCAGTTAGGCACTAGTTATCATAGTAGCATAAAATCATAGTAAAATATGTGAGTTTTATTTGAAGATTTGCTTATGCTTCTAAACACTAGTCAGAATGATGAAAACACTTTTCCCAACTTGAATTTTTAATTTTTTTATATATTTTTTTTGTTTTCACTGTTCTAACCATTTTGAAGTGTGCAGTTCATTGTTATTAAGTGCATTCACATGGTGCAACCGTCACCGCTCTCCACCTGAACTTCTTGACCATCCCGGACTGAAACTCTGTTCTCTTCAGACAGAAGCTCCCATTGTGATCCCTTTGCCACATGGTCTTCCTAATTTGTCATGTCGGGTCTACATGTTCATCTCGCCTTTACTCTTTCTGTGCCGTGAAAGGCCTTCTCTGTAGTTGCTTCAGAGGACTGCTCACATACGCTCATTCTTCTATTCATTTATTTGTTTATTTTCTTTATTTTAATCTGTGGAAGCTAACTTTTACTTTTCCCCCCCAAACTGTCACCAAGTTGTCTCACTACTATTTACTCACCGTTCTCAGATCATTATCCTGAAATGCTCCTTTATCATGTACTTTAGATAGGCTTAGGTTTGACTCTAGGCATTCTGTTCTGTTCCAGTGTTCTTTCTTCTTCACTCTTTCTCAAAATTTCCTTGGTTGGTCTTGCATTTATCATTTATTTTTATAGTATTTTACGGTAATTTTTTTGAATCTTTTGATTTGGAATTCCATTTTTACAGTAGTGAGTCTTCCTATTTCAGGGCTATTTTCTCTCCCTTTTTGTTTTATGTCTCTTGGTAAAGTTTCCCAGTTGTTACTATTTTAGGAGTTTTTGTTTTGAATACAGATTCTTCACATTAGCTTTGATTTCTTTTTTGCCCCATGTTTCTTTACCATTTCCATCTGTTTCATGACTAGAACTTTTTCTTGTTAAATGATTCCCTAGACTTAAAAAAAAATCTCATTTATGTAGTGCTTTTTACTTTTTTAGATAAATTTTACCTATTGTGATTTTTTTTCTAATTTGAGAAGACTTTCAATGTATGTAGCTGATGTGTGTATAATAAATTATTTCCTAATATTTTTTAAACATAATACAAATGTCCATTTACTTTCAGTAAAAACCTCTGGAGAAATGTTAAAGTGCTGATTTAATATGATCCAGATCTCTCTTGAAAAGAACAAGTTATTTTTAATCTAGCATGTTTTTTTATATCTGTTGGCCAAAAATTTTAAGGAGGAAAATCCAAGCCAGTGAAGGAACAAACTTGATTGAGTGTTAATAGATTTTTTAAAATCACTTCAAAGATAACGTTTGAGTTTTTATTTGATTTTCGGTTGATGGCCTTATGTAGTGTTAAAACCATGTTAGAAGCTAATGTAGTTACTTATCTTATGAATTCCTATTTTGGGAATAAATGCCTGTGATTTGTTCTTTTTATCCTGATTGTATAATACTCTATGAAATAACACAAAAGTAATTAACTGGATTGTCAAAGAATAGCATTTTAAGATTAATATGGTATGGTTCTCATAAATATAAACCCTTTTCCTGACACCCCAAGACTGGATTGTCTGCTTCCCTGATTCTGTAGCATCTTCTACACCAATGTTAACTACAGTGTGCTGTGATTCCGCCTGCTTCGGTCTTTCCAATGGACTGTGAGCTCCGTGAGGGCAGGGACAGTGTCCGCTTATTCACCATTATATTCCCAGCTTCCAGCACAGTGTCATGACATGGTGAGGGGCTCAGTGAGTGATTGTGTATTTAGTAAGTAGCAGGAACCATCCTAGGAGGTATGTCGATGCTGGTGGATGTATGAAATCACTAAGAAGATTAACTGTCGCTAAACAAATAAGGAGGCATAAGAAAATAACAAACACAACAAACTCTATTTACCTTTTACATTGGAAAACCTTTGTTTTTCAATGTTATCTACATATAAAGTGTGACTTAGTTTTATTATTTAGAAAACATAAACCTCCAATTTGGGCACTTTGGGGAGCAGGAAATTTAAAGCTGAATCCCATATTCTGATTAAAGGGGTGGGGAGAGAGCAGTCGTCAAAGGTGAGAAGTTTAAGAATCAATTCATAAAAGGAGAACACTAATAGAAGATTCTTGTTTGAACACTGTCTTGAAGGAATGGAAACAGACCGGTTTTGTGTTCCCATTTTGTGGTACTGGGAGAGGGAGCCGGGGATTGTTACTGTTGTAAAAGGTGTGTGAACTTTGGCTGTCATTTGAAATGTGCTGCCTTTAGAAATTTCTTGTCAATGAAGATAGATTTTGCATGCCATTCCTCCAGGAGTACTGTGGAAGAAGGCCTTCAGTGGGTTGCCTACATCAGTGTTTTCATGTTTTGCCAGAACCCCAGGGTTTTTGCTTGGGTTCAGTGTCCTTGAGGGATGTTTGATGGGTAGAACTCTTGGGGTCCCTTTTAGGCTTTAAACAGAGCAGCTGTTCTCAACCATTTTACATATTAAGATTTCACAGAGATTTCAAATGCTGGATGAAAGGAACCGGAGTGTAAAAAAAGAAAGCACTTGGGCTAGTTCTCAAGAGTTCCCCGTCCAACCCAAGCCTCTGGGAATTTGCAGTATTTGCAGTTCCCTGTCTTTCTTTGTCATCTTTAATGTTCAGAGTTAGAGAATTGCCCCGTGGAATGTTTGTAATCCAGCGGTGGTATCTGAAAGAGCAGGATGGTGGGGTTTAATTCATTAAGGGCACCTTACTTCATTCCCTGTGTGCTCTCCTGCAGAATGGTTATCAAAAATGGGGACAGTGCCTTTTAGGGTCTTGTCTTAGAATATATATGTACCTCAGTTTTAGAGATGAATTTAGAACTTGCATTTAGATAAAATCATGTAATATTTGCTTTTATAATTAAACTATTATGTTTAGAATAATACTAGTAAACAAGTTAGGGCTTTACTAACCAGAGTTTAGCAGATAAAAGATTGCAGGTTTTCTAACCTAGTGACTGGCACCAGATTGCCCGGGTTTGACTCCTAGTGCAATGCTTACACCTTGGCAAGCTATTTTATCTTCCCACGTTTCAATTGCCTAATTTGTAAAATATAGAGAATAATAAATCTTATCTCAGAGGGCTTTTAATAAAAGCTTAAATTAATACAAGTTAAAGTCCTTAGAAAAATGCCTGATACACAGTAAGCACTCAGTATTTGCTATTAGTATCATTCCATTCACGTATCTATGGGACATTCATTCACAGTGAATGCTGAATGCCAGTCTTCATGAACGTTCATTTTAGCTCATGGCTAGTGGCTGACATTGCTACAAAGATGAAATAAGACAGTGTTGTTGCTTTCAAGGGGCTTTTAGTTTAAACTGAGAAACACCAGTGTACAGGGAGTTAGAGAACCGTACATAATGTTTGGGGACCCAGTTGATTCATCAGAGCAAGTGGCATTTGAGTTGGACCTTTCAGGGATGGGTAATATTTCAAAAAATGAAGTCAGGAAAGGTGTTCTGGGCAGAAAGAGCTAGAATGATTAATGGCTTCAGAGGCATTGGCTGTGGGACATGAGAGATTATAATGGAATAAACAAGTGGGGCTTAGGCAAAGCTCCAAATGTCAGGCTTTGAAACATACTGAGCAGTAAACCAATAATTTAAAGTTGTTGAGCAGGAAATGATGAGTTTAATCCGATTGTATTTAAGATGGGTGGAGTGACTAGAGATGGGAATGCTAATCAAATTGTTAGAATGGCCTAGGTATGCAGAGACGCTATGTTTGCTGTAGATAAGTTTGAGATAATGGGGGATGATCTTTGTTTTGGGCTAGTCAGTTGGAAGTGGGGGTCTGACCACTGGGGACCAAGTCGTAGATTTGAGCATCGTCTTGTTGGAATGTACGATTGAATGTGCACCATCGAAGGAAAGAAGGCACAGCTGAAATCTGGATTTTCCTCTGATTTTTCTAGAGGTTACCAGAACAAAGCCACGTCATGCTGTGAAGCGGAAACGGACGGCAGATAAGTCCACCAGTACCAGTGATCCTGTGATTGAGGATGACCACGTGCAGGTGAAGAAAAAAAACCTTGTTTACCTTTCAGTCCAGCCAAGTTCCTAAATAAAGGAACTATAGCTTCCATCTTCATACAGTTTCTTTGCCCTAAAAAGAAGAAAATGGTAACAGTTGTTTCTTACTTGTGCCAGTGGGGACATTTAAGTCAAAAAAAAAAAAGTAGTACTGAAAAATATGTCTAATTTTCAAATTTTCTCCTTGTAGGTCCTTGTATTAAAATCCAAAAATCTTGTTGGGGTCACTATGACCAACTGTGGAATCACAGACCTGGTGCTGAAAGACTGTCCCAAGATGATGTTCATCCACGGTATGTGTCGGGCGCGTGTCACACGGAGCATCATGAATGAGTTCAAAGAATTAAACACTTACAAGTATTACACTGACATCATTATTTTTTCAAAGGTGTCATCATTTTGGATTGTTTGTAATTCTGTTCTCATCAAATAATTACCCCACAGTGTGTATGAGGGACGATGTGCAGAAACCTGGCTCATCTTTCAAAGTGGCCTCTCCTCCAGTTCCCTCCAAATCATCCTTGCTACCTGACCTGACAGGACATTCACACCATGTGTGGGCTTTGGAGTCACACAGACCTGGGCCTGAGTCCTGTCTCGGCTACTTGCCAGCTGTGGGATGTTAGATGTGTTCATTGTGGGGAGTGGTGACCAGGCTTTTAAGTGCTTAACTGCTCAAGATTTGATTAGCACGATCAATTCACAGCACATGATGGTTAGTCCAGGCCCCCCTTTTCTTTATGGTCCCCTTCATGCTGCCCCGTTGGCTGATGTATTGATCTATATCCTTCCGGTCCATCTTTACTTTTGTACATATTTGTCTCTGAACAAGCAATAGTATAGTATTTTGTGTGAGCTTTTTAAATTTTAGATACATGGCATGTCTTGCACATGATCTGTTTGTCCATTTTCACTAAAAATTATATTTTTAGTACCTATCCATGTAGGATTATGAGCTCTGACTTGTTTCTTGCCTCGGGCAAGTTATATTTTCCCTGTGTTCATTCTTTTCAATCTGTGAAGTGCATAATTATGCTTGCCTTATAAAGCATTTATGAAGGTTAAATGCAGAGATTGATATGTATGTATATGTGTAGGTGTGTACATACATGAACACACACACATACACAGTAGAGGGTCTGACCTCTTAGTAAATGTCAAGTTGATCTAAGCTATACTGTTTAATGTGGTAGCTACTAGCCACTTGTAGCTATTTAAATTTAAGTTAACTAAAATGTAATTTTAGTTCAAAAGCCTAGTAAACTATTAAAAGCCTAGTAAATGTTAATATTGCAAAAAAAATATTTGGGGGCTTTCTTTTCTTTGTACTTCTGTAATACTAGTTCTAAGCAAAACAAGGAAATCCTTACCAAACATTTTGTCTTAAATTAGGAGAATTGTATTTAAACATTATGTTACCTCTCTCCTGAACTCTAGAAAACTCCAGACTTGGGGACCCCAGGCTGCAGGTTCACCCTTAAGAGGTTGTCCTCTACTCCATTCCAACCATGGGGGTCTTAAAACATCTACTAAGTGACCCTCTCTCTTCTTGGAGTTTCCTCCTGAAACAGAACAGGGGCCTGCAGAGTCCAGAGACGGCAGCAGCAGGGGAGCCCAGGCCGGCGTAAGGCAGCGCTTGCGAGAGCTGTCCGTCCACCGGCGCTCTACCCACCCGGGGTCTGGCGCTGTCTTCCTTTTCTGTTGGTTGCTTTCTCATTCCTTTCTCTACTCTGAACTCCCTGAGAATCTCAGGGTTTCCATGTTTGCACTTGATTCTGGTGATTCTCCCCGTTATCTTCTCTAACCTACTGATAGGACCCCGTGGCCTCAGGTCATCTTTTGCCCTTCAGCCACATTGTATAGCTCAGCTTATCGTGGACAGAGGACCTCAGGTAGGTAGCGCAGCCCCTAGACACCGTCTGACCAAGCTGATGGCCTGTGAGATGACTGAGGTTAAAACTGACCTTTGCTGTGTCTGGTTTTACAGCATAGAACTATAACCCTTATTGCCATCTAATCCTCTTGTTCGTCCTTTCCTGTCCCCAACACTGCTTCACCTTTTTCTTACCATGTCACAGAAGGAGAAAATGAGTCTGAGGGATAGGAGACTTGCTCAGTGTTCAGACATCAAAATTAGTTGCAGGACTACGTGGCTCAGGACAGTGACTCAGGACAATGACGACGTTTGGGCCCAGGATGTCGCAGAAGATGCCGTTGGGAAATGTTAAAAAGATCAGTCACTTGGGCCTTATGGTTTCGTGATACCTTCTGTCTGATTCTCTGAGTTGGACCAGGTTAAGGTTAACATTTATGACAAGAATTGGATCAGATTGAAATTAAAGACTAAAAAAAAGGAAGGGGATATTTTCTGCAGTTGCAGTTAAATGTGCTCATTACATCACAATTACTTTTCTCTCTAAACCCCAGATTTTATATATCAAATAGGAAGATCACATAATCAGGTTTCAGACAAGCACTTTCAGAACTTTCTGCAGTGTTGGAAACATTCTCCATCTGTACTGTGTGTATGGTGACCACTGGCCATCTGCAACTATTGAACTGTGGCTAGTGCCTGAGGAATTGAATTGTTAAGTTTATTACATTTTAGTTCATTTAAGGTTAAATAGCTGCAGGTGGCTTACTAGTGACTACCTCATTGGACTTTAACACTTAGACCAATATCCAAATATTGAGTCTTTTTTTTAAGGTTTGCCCTTCAACTTGTGATAGTAATTAAAATCAGTTCTACTCATTTCCTGTGGGTAAGTGTAAGATAATGCATGTGAACTACTTCAGGTTTACTTGATCATTATCCATAAAACTGCATGATTTAATTTAATTATGATTTAATCAGTCATTCTTTTCGGTAACTATTCCTAAACAGTTCCAGTGTTTAGGCGAGTCATTCTCCGGGATTTAGATTCCTTGCCAGCAGAATCTGAGATAGGAAAGTGGACCTTACCATCCTTTCAGCATGAGGGTGACCACCACCTTTTGAACAGGACAGAGTCACGTTTTTAAATCATTTTGATAACTGTCAGTTGTACTTAATGATAATACTTGCTTGACCTGTGTTCAGGATATTTACATCTGTATTTTATGCTAATAAAAGTTGATCCGTTCCTCCAAAGATAGTTCCGGTAGGATGTGCATTGCTCTGTTATTTTGTATGAGTTATTCGTAGAACTTGTCATTGTTCTCATTTTCTAGCTACCAGGTGCAGGGTACTGAAACACTTAAAAGTAGAAAATGCGCCAATCGTAAACCGGTTTGACTATGCACAGTGCAAGAAACTGAATATGGACCAGGTGCTAGACCAGATCCTACGGATGCCTCCTGAGAGGAATCGCATCGTATACCTGCGCCCGATGCAGCAGGTGATGAGCGCTGCTCTTTCTGCTGATACGCATACTGCAGTGGTATTTTTTTTTTTTTTGTCTTCATCCTTTTTGGACTTGGCCTTTTTTATTCATTAGCTCAACCTACAGTAGGGATTCTTTTTATTCTGCAATTTTTTTGACCAAACTAGACCATCTTGTTAACCTGCCTCATTAATGCTTCTCTGCTAGATACCTTTGGGTTTCCAGCAAGTTAGATGATGAGGGAAGTCATTATTCAGCAAGCCTTTATGTCTGTTAAAACTTGCTTGTGGTTAAAAGCACCGACTGTGGTTTCAGACTGTCTGATTCAAACTTTGGTTCACTGACCTGTAGTGGATGACTTCACTTCTATGTCTTAGTTTCTTCATCTATTAAAAGAATAAAAATCTACAGTTACGGTGATGTTTAAAGTAATACATGTGAAATGCTGGAACAGTTGCTGGCAGGCAGCAAGCAGTCACACAGCTGCTGCTATTATCGTTAAGCAGACACTTCACTGTATCATGCATGAGAAGATGGATGTTAGCTGAATCTGTTGTGGGAGTCATTTCACGATATATGTGAATTGAACCATCATGCTGTAAGCCTTAAGCTTAGGTGATGTGTATCAATTATCTCTCAATAAAACTGGAAGAATAGAAAAGTAAACATTGTATGTGAGACTCTGCTTGATGCCAAAAGAAAGTTTAAATGGAATATTAAACAACCTTTGCAGTCACTGGTTGAGCCTGGCCCCAGAAGTCATTTCAACAAACACACCATTTGTTGAGTGTCTGTGATTTGCTAGGACTGAAAGACACACCGACTGCCATCCCTCCCTTGAGAAGTTTGCCTTTCCAAGCGGGCGGTGGGCACGTAGGGCACTGAGAGGGCAGAGTGGGATTTCAGAAGTCGAGGTGGGGAAGAGGGCATCCCAGGAGAGAAGACGGCAACGTGAACAAAGGCTGCGGGGTCAGGGGAGGAATGTGTTCTGTCTGTAGGAATGGGCGGTAGTCTGCTTTGCCTCAGGTGGATGGCACCACACAGTCCCAGGGCTGTCATGCGGTCAGTACGTCCGCCTGTAGAGGACACACTTAGAAGTGGACTCCTGGGATCAGTTATCTGAATCTGAATTCTCTGCTTCAATGGGCATTTATGAAACGGTGAGATGAAAATCGCAGAGCGTGCGGAACAGAATCCGCTAAGCCGCCTTCCCCCTCTGATGGCTCCCACAGGTGGACACACTAACGCTGGAGCAGAAGCTGTTCAGTGGCCCCTACCCCTATCACATCTGCATCATCCACGAGTTCAGTAACCCCCCCAACGTCCGGAACAAGGTGCGCATCCGCAGCTGGATGGACGCCATCGCGAACATCAACCAGTAAGTGGCCCCTGGCTCCCGAAGGCCTTTCGGTCATTTGCCAAAGTGAGGCTTCCAGAAACAAGACGTGATTATTCTCCAGGCGATTCCATCTGGGCTTCTCACGGACCAAGATAATTAAATGAAACATGTGAAGAACAGGGAAATGGGGACTTTAAACAGTGCGCATTTGTGTTTGTGACCTTATTTTCAGACTTAGAGAGAAATGGCAAGAACAGACTGTACATGTGCATGACTTCATCTCTTTAGCCTTACGACATGGAAAAGAGAGCTAATTAAAGATCTTAAAACTCTGATGTTTTACATCACAGAAGAGTGGACTTTTTAATGCATTCGTTACATAAACATTATATTAAGCACCTTTTACGCGCAAGATACTTGATTTGAGAGTGGTTTCCTTTCCCTGATAAGATTTTGAAGATAGTGAAGAAAGTACTTTTGACTTGACTAAATAAGTATTCTCTGCTTTGAGTGTATTTAATATTTTTTTGGGGATGTCCATTGGAATCTAGGCCTGACACAATTTTGACTTTCCACTCCACGTCTCAACGTTATTCTCAGTTTTGTCATTTTCATTTAATTTTTCTTGTTGCTTCCAGAGAGCTCATTAAGTATGAATTCTTCCCTGAAGCCACACGAAGTGAAGATGACTTAAAAAAGTACCCCAAGTACCCTTGGGGCAGAGAAATCTATACTTTAGAAGGTAAGCATTTGCAAATAGCTGGAAAGCTAACCAGCCCTTAACTAGATGGAGAGATGCGTCTCAGAGAAGGGAGCAATGGGAGCCCGACCGCCCATCAACGTAATGGGTGCTTTGAACAGCAGAGACCAGAGAAATACCGCTCTCCCTGTGAGTCTTCCCCATCCCCAAAACAGTCAGAGCAGTGTTGAAACAGAGAAAGTGAATCGAAACTTGCTAGTTTGAGAGTTGGAAATGACTTGAGAGAACCTGTCTCAACTTCTGTGTGTGTGTGTGTGTGTGTGTGTGTGTGTGTGTGTGTGTGTGTGTGTGTGTGTGTGTG